AAGACTGGTCAAAAATAGTCTGTTGATTAAAAATAATTATTTCAATTTCAAATTTCAGTGTTTTTAAGTTTTCATTGGAATACATCCATATACATTCATATGCATATTGTCAGTGGCTGCTTTTGTGCTACAATGGTCAAGTTGAAGAGCTGCCCCTGTGGCCCGATGGTCTGCAGATTAGTGAGGGCTCTCTAGAGGAACAGAACTGAGAGAAAATATATGTATAGCCAGGAGATTTAGCTCAGTGGCACCATGCCTGGCTCATAAGCATAAGGTCCTGAGTTCAATCACCCTCATCAAAAAACAAAAAAAAGAAAGAAAATATATGTATAATCATGCAAGGGGATTTATTAGGTAGGCTTATAGGATCAGCAGTGGTAGAGTCCATAGTGGCTGTCTGGGTGCTAAAGAGGACCCAGTAGTTGCTCAGCTCAAAAAGATGGAAGCCACGTGACAAGAGGGATCAAGGATGCAGCGCCAGTCCAAGTTCCAAGGGCTGGAAACTCACTGGAGAGTCGCTGGTGTGAGTCTGCATTGGAAGGCTGAAAAACACTGGGGACTGAAGTCCAAGGGTGACAAAGACACACCCCTCAAGTAGACTAAAACTCTAAAAAATGGGCAAGCTTTCTTCTTTCCCATTTGTGTTCCATTTAGGCTACAAGCTTATTAGTTGGTGCCATGCATAACAGGGATGGGTTTCCCCTGTCAGTTATTTCTGGAAACACCTCAACGACACACCCACAATGCTTTGCTAACCTGCTAGGTGTTTCCTACTGCATTCAAATGGACATATCACAATTAATGGTCCACAAAGTCCACCAAGCCTAATTTACTAACTGGCCCTTTATGAGAAATGTGCTGATCCTGGACTACGGCGCATACAACTGCTGCAGGCCCTTGCTTACGCCTTCAGACTCATATCATCTGCCATCTTATCCCTAACCCAACCTGGAAGATGTTTTCTCAAAAAAACCCCCAAGCACTCCATGCTTTCTCTTCTCTATTGTTTCTTCCACCTGAAAGACCAGGCAGGACAGAGTGGGTACCATTATGTCCCAGGCTCTTTTTTGGGGCAGCTTTTCTTAACTGCCTAAGATCAGGCGAGAAGCCTCTTTGGTGTGGTCCTCAGTTCCCGCCCCTTTCATTTGGCTTCTCTATTGAAAGCATCCATGTTCTTATTAGTCCCTTGACACTGTGTGCCTTTAAGATTAAGGCCATGGCTTATTCATCTCAGGATCCCTAGCACCCAGTAGCTGCTATGTGGGTAATTAGGAAACATTTTAAACTTGGAGTCCACACATGCATGGGTGTCAGATCTGTGAGCCCTCTGAAATAGGGTGATAAATGTTGCCTTTGTGTATGACTGTTTGGACATATATTCTACAAAGACAGCGGGCCATTTTCAAAAGCTTTACAGTTATCCCCCTTTCAAAGAAAAAAAATTAAGGATTCCTAGAAGAGGTGTAGCTATATAGTTAGTAAAGTGCCGACAGGGAGAAATTAACAAGATTTATTGACATCAGTTTGACAAAACAAAGCTCCTGATTCCTCTCACCACTGATCTTACCACCCAGGACACAAACATCTGTCTGGGTGACTAACATAGCACTAAGATTTTTAAGGCTTCCTTCTGTGACTCCATTAGAGGGTTAGCATTAGCTAAACACAGCATAGGAATAGGAGATTGTTATTCGAAGGGAGAACACTTTAGGAGAGACTCAAAACAAAAATCTAGACTCTGCTAGAGACATGCTTGTGATGGTTAATTCTGTGTTAACTTGTCTAGGTCATGGTACCCAGTTTTTGGTCAAACAATAGTCAAGATGTTTCTGTGAAAGTATTTTTATATGTTCTTGGCATTCAAATCAGTAGACTTTCAGTAAAACAGATTACCCTCCATAATGTGGATTTACCTCTTCCAATCAGTTGAAAGCTTTAAGAGAAAAGACTGAGGTTCACTAAGGAGAAGTTCTGCCTTGGACTTGAAACTAGCATATCAGCTCTTTTCTGGGTCTAGCCTGCTTGCCTACCTTTTACCTGCCCTGCAGATTTTAGACTTCCCAGCTTCACAATTGTGTGAGCCAATTCCTTAAAATAAATCTGTTTGTACATACCCTATTGGTTCTATTTTTCTGCTGAACCTTGATGAATGCAATTCTCTCTTGTCAAGTATTGTGGAATTACATATGCTATATTGGATGAAGATATGCTTTGGATGAAGATATTTTTAGTTGGAATACTTCTTAGGATTAGAGTTCAGGTTGCCACCCTCCTGGCTTCTTGGTTAATATTTTCAATTAATCTTCAAGATACACACTCCTTCTTAGATTAGATGAGCATTTGCCAGTGAGAAAAGCAGGAAGACTTGGCATTGTGATGTTGGCTGGAACTGGGCTATGTTTGAAACCACACCTTTAGGGTCCCATAGGAAGCACAAATACTCTAAGACCTGTGCCCACCACAATTAACATGGTGATGATCTGAAAAGTTGTCCTGGGAAATTTGAAATCTGTACAGCAGATCCATGTTTAGCCAATGGAAACTTTACGTACAAGAAACAAGAAACACTAAAAAATGAACCTGAAAGTAGTCCTTTCTTTTTTGTTTTAGCTTCCCTCTTCTACTTCTGCTTATTAAATGTACCACTGCTTTTAAGTTTTTCTGCTATTGTTTCACAAATATGCAATTATGGAATTTTATTTTAAAGAAAATTTCTTTACAATTCCACTCCCTTAGAAATTTATGTTTTTGAGCTTCTGAAGGCCACAGGCCACAGGAAAGGCCAACAGACTGTAAGTCAAGGGCACAAGGCCGCAGGACAAGGGAAACCATGAAGAAACTACTGTGGGACAACTGTCATTCTTGAAATGTAATTTACAAGTCGGTATTCTCACAGTGGCACAGTGGCACTGAGAGAACATTCACACCATTTGGAAAGCACGGAGGTTGTATGGTTTCTCAGAACAGCTGTCTCAGTGAACTCGCCCCGGGCTCAATTATCTACTGCCTATTTCCCTTTTTGTCTTCTAAAGCTCCAGCATATGAGGATTTGGCAGCTACAACAAGGTTGAGTGTGACTGACACAGGAAACAGCTCATGGCTGGACTGGCGTCTGTGTGCAGCTGAATGGGGACACACTGGCAGGTCTTAGCAAGGAAGCAGCTGTCACTCAGGGTGCTGGGCCCAGTGTCACCAGCTTGCTAGTTTCCTTCTTTTAGGTGTCTTACCTGCCTTAAGAAGGTTGCACTAATGGTGGGACACATATCACTCTGACTGCACCCTGTGGTTGGGTAGCTCTTTAGGAAGGGAGTGGGTGGAAGGATACCGACATTTATTTAGTGTATCCCACACTCTACTAGGCACTTTATATATATGCTGCAAAGTGATTTCAGAGCACTGCCTGGGCTTGAGCCACACTAGCTGTGTGGCCTTTGGTAAGTCACTCAACTTCTTGTCTCATATTCTTTCTGTAACAATAATAACACCCACAACATAGAATTATTGTGAAAATTAAACTAATTATGTCTAAAGCACTTAGAACAGTGTCCAGAACATAGTCAAGTGCTATACCTATGCTTGCTATTATTACTTCTATTACTTATTTTTAACACAGCCCTGTTTATTCTTTTATGCCAGAGGAAACTGTGAGGCTCATGGAGATTAAGTCAATTACCGGAGATGGCAGAGCCTGAAACCAAACTCAGATTTATCTGACTGCAATGTTTTCTTCCCAGAACAGGACCAGGCCTGCTTAAGGCTATCAAGTTCCCGCTCCCCCTTGCTAGCTTAGGGCTCAGTTTATCAGCCCTTCTTTCTACTGACAAGGATGAAATCCTATATGACCGAGGCTCTGTCTTTAATCTCCCATTTCACTCATCTCTGGAGAAAGGCCAAGGGTCCAAAGGGTGTCAGGGAAAGGAGCGGCTTCCCTCTACCTTCCACCCCAAAGGCCTAAGCAGCCCTTCTGATGTTTCCTGTGCCTTCTCTGACCTTCAGAAAGCAGGGATATTCATAACTAGGCACTAGATTAAAAAAAAGTCTTGATAAGCAGGACCTTTATCAAAACTTGGTGGATTTAGAGGAGAAGATGGGCTCCTGCGGCAGCACTGCCCAAGAGAAATATAATGGGAGATATCTATAACTTGCAAATTGTAAAGGTTCTATGAAAAAAGTAAAAAAAAAAGATTTTAATAATATTTAAACTAACATAGCTAAAATATCTCAACCTACAATTAATATAACATTGTTAGCCAGATATTTTACTTTTCCTGGCATTAAGTGTTAAGTCCATCATGTATTTTACACATGCAGCCCTAGAATTATAGCAAGAAGCAACTATAACAGCTGCCAGCCAGAGACTTGGGTCCATGTCCTAGAAAGTCCATCTTTATTCATTTGGCCATTTTATATGTCTGATACTGTCTCCCTTCGTCATTCACCATGGAAAAAAATGGCTGAAGGAGTAAAGATGTCGCCTTTATTCCTTGGAATTGCCTCAAAGTAGTGCAGATTTGGCTGGTGACTGAGATTTGTTGAGTGATTACAGAGCGTTTGTGTCAACCTGCACGCTCTGGCATGACGACGACGAGGGGAATTTCAGGCTCTAGAAGGACCCGGGTTTCCTCTCGGACCCGACACAGCCCTTTTCTGTCTTGTGCCCATCAGTGACCACAGAGCTGTCTGATGTGTCCCGCAGAGACTCGGATGGGCTCATATTTCCTGGACCGGATGACAGGCCAGAGCCTCGAGGCCAAAGCGGCGCAGACGAAGCACTGGATGCTCCGCTTGTCCGTGCGCATCCCGAGCATCCGCCCGCGCCCGGCCCGACGCAGCTGCTGCAGATCCGCCGGGGCCTCCGCTGGGGCCTGGAAAGGGCGGGAGCCTCTCCGCCCGGCCAGCGGCCTCCCCTGGCGGGGCCGGGGCGGAGTCGCCCACCTGTCACCCCAGACGCCCCACGTGGGTCCGCCGGGGCGGGGGCGGGACGGGAGGGAGAGAGAAAAGGCGGAGGCGTCAGGGAGGCTGGACCGAGCAGGAAGGAGAGCAGCGCAGGAGAAGAGGGACGCTCGCGACGGCCGAGCGCGAGGGGGGAAGCGCGGAAGAAAGAGGCCCAGAGACACTCAGAAAGGGACAGGTAAGGGGGCGCCGGTGACTGGAGGAGAGAAGAGCCCTGCCAGAGAGTGGGGAAAGAGTCGGGGAACGAGGAAAGGCCTGAGGATAACGGACGACATAGTATGGAAAGAAGGGCTGGAGGATGAGGCTAGGGCGACGAACCTTCAGGGTCCTTCAACGAGGGGTGGGGGAGGAACCGAGGACCTTGCGCCTTTAAGGTTGTCAAGGCGACATCTCTGGCCAAAGCGAGGCACATTGACGTCACAGCCGAGCGCTGATTGGCTGCGGCCGTTTCGTTTCCGGTGGAGCCGTCGCTGAGTTGCTATCGCAGACAGGACCGCGGCTGCGAGCGAAGCACTGACGGAGCTCGGCAGCACCGCAACCTGACACCTGTAGCTTCGCGCCCGCCGCCACCGCCAGCCCCAGGTGAGTGGGGTCAGCCAGGAGCCCCGGCTCGGTGAGCTTCGTCGCCCCACCGCCCGTTTGGGGGCGCTGGACCGATCCAAGATGGCGTCATGGAGAGCGACTTGCGGGGGGACGGCCGCACCCCCTGCACCTCCGCAGCCGGCGGTGCCTCCCCGCGGGCCGGACGCTCCGGGCCGGGTCTGCGGCTCCGGGCTGCACCCCCGAGGCCCAGCGCACTCGGGGGTCCGCCGTGCGGGGGTTCCTGGCCGGCCCGCCCCCACCCCCATTCTCCCATCCCCCTCACGCCCCCATCCCGCCCCACCGGCTGCGCTGGCCCCCCAGCCCCCCGCGCACGGCCGCCTCCGCCCAGCGCGCTGCTGCCGTGTCGCCTTCACTCCTTCCCCCACTTCCTGACTCACCACGGCTAGATTTTACCGGAATTCGCAGTTGGGCTCCCCCCACCCCATTCTGGTGCAGGTTGAGAGTCGGCAGCATTTTCTCGTCTACAGTCTACACTGCGTCTCCTTGTCTTTTCCAGCCGTCACTTTCCCTCTCCTTCCCGGGATTACCCTCCCTCTTCTCCGCCCACACAGCTTTCTTCCTCTGGTTCAATTTCTTTCCGTCCCCTTTAACTTCCGTTCTTTGCCCGATTATCCCCGAGGCCTCCTCACCAACTCTACTAGTAGCGTAGGATGTGGGGACGGCTTCCTTCATTTTGTAGTCCTGACGGTGGCCTAAGTGAAGGGCACTTTCCTGCCCTTCCTCTAGAAAGTATACGCGGTGCCTTTTAACCCTTCTGGCTCAGTGCTTGTGTGGTGCCAGCCCACTCACTACCGTATTTGAGGATTCCTTTTTCAGCAGAGGGAAGAAAGCTCCCATTTCGTCAAAATAACCCTAAGGAAGTGTTAGTTGGCAGGCTTTAGGGGATGCGGTCGGAGTTAGGAACGGTTACTCAGTTGTAAATATTTCCTCCGATTCTTTTTAAACAACATTTCATGACAGTTGACTTTGCAAAAGAAAGAATCTGAGTGGTTTCTTATTAAGAATGGAGATATGCGTTGACAGTTTCTTTTTTTTGTTGTTTTCTTTAATTGCAGTGACGATTTTAAATTAGCTAAATTTTTTTGGGGGGGAAATGAAGACGTTGTTGGGCTCTTAAATTTAAGTACAAATATAGAATCAGTCCAGTTATTTTTGATTAAAAATACTTAGGCCATGAAATTTGGTCATTCATGGGTTCCCATGATGACGCATTAATCTTGGAGCATATTTTGTTCATGTACTGTCTTTACCAGTGACGTATTTTTGTAATACAGTAGTTTGTTTCAAACAAAAATTTTAATCTCTTAGACCCAACAATCATTGCTTGCCAAAGATCTGATTTTAGCATATTTCTGATTAATTGAAGGCATGTATTGATGTTCCTGAAGCATAAAAAAATAATCCGATTATCATTTTGTTATTGGTGGCTTTTAGTATTATTTGAAATACAGAAAATTATACTGAAGTGGTTTTTCATTTCATGATTATCTGTCCTGGAAAAGTGGCTAGTGCACATCTGCGGTATATAAACTTCTAAATATTTATTTCTGAAGTAGCAACATGGTCCCCTTTCCATGACTTCTAATTTATGTGCTTGTCATGGAGCCACAAATTTTCTCATGGTCTGTTAATTAGTCTATTTGTTATTGACCTTTATCATGAACGTTGTCGAAACAAAGTAATAATGTAGCACTTAGAAAAGCTCTTTATTCTAGTATTTATTTTTTACATGTTTTATTTCGTTTTGTGTGCACTGTAAGAAATCTGATTAATGCTGTATTTAGTTGCAATGTGGAGGGGAACACACTCTTCTGAACTTAATTTCTTAGTAAATATGAGTTGGAAGGAAAATAGTGTATGAATGGCTCTGTTAAATTACTGTTTTTAATTCTAGGGTAAAGTTAGCTGCTCATTATTATATTTTTATTTACTTCATTTCAAGCTAGTTTTATGATCCACTAAATGTAGTTTATTGACTCATCATGTAGGTTTGAAACATGTGTTTTAGTATTTTTCTGTCCACATAAAGAAAATGTTTTGAATTGTGAATGTTTGCTCCTTGCTACCTCTCCTTGTATTAATTATTGTTGTTTTTCTAAGTATAGTTAAAGCAGTTTATATCAGTAACAGTAAAGGAGAATATATAATGTAAAAAAAATGTTTTGACCATTTTCTTGGTAGAGATATTTTTAAAAATTTCCTTGATAAGGTCCCCTCACTCCCCCCCCCCCCCAGGACTTTTCCTCTTTCATCACTGGTAAATGTAGTATCACTTAGAGCTGGAATCTGGTAAAAGATTTCAGAATAAAAGTTTGCTTTTAAAACTCATCTGAAGTTTTGGGTTTAAAAACTTTTGCTTATACTAATAGTTGGCGGCGAATCAGTTCCTTTGCGAGTGATTTGTGGTGTGATATTAGGACACTCCCATGGGATAGGAGTGTCTAAGGGAAACATCAGATGTTTTTCATTGTGCTGCCTTGCTTTCACTTAGAGCTGACTTGTGTGTCCTTGTAATTCTCTGAGCTGTTTACCAATTACACATTTCCCACGTCATCATGATTTCTTTTGCTAGAGAGATCTGAATGAAATTCCCTAAAGGCCTGACTCCTTAGCAGCCTGCCTCTGCAGGGATGGTGGCTCATATTGAAGATAACTGTCTCTCACTTGCCCGCAGAGCCCAGATCTTACACCAGGACCTAAACGAAGCACTTACTTGGAAGAATGCAAGTTTTGTTTTACTCAGTCTCTATCCTATTTAGCAAGGAAAAATTTTCTATGAGTCAGTTGCCTAATAAATTTAATGTCAAAAGGCCAAATTAGTGTTTGTGCTTTATAAATAGTTTAAACACGCATATGTGTTTTTTTTTTTTGCAGAGAACCATGGCGTCTGGCAGTACTGCCGCCAGTGAGGAGGAGCGCAGTCTCCGGGAATGTGAACTCTATGTCCAGAAGCACAACATCCAGGCGCTGCTCAAGGATTCTATTGTGCAGTTGTGCACTGCTCGACCTGAGAGACCCATGGCGTTCCTTAGGGAATACTTTGAGAGATTGGAGAAGGTAAAAATAAACGTGGGGAGATGATATGAGGACCCTGACAGTTGTTAAAATTAATACTTTGGAGTGTTGCTAATTTGTACCTTTTGAAAGGAAAGGATTTCTGACCAAAGAAGTTGGGAAAAAATTCAAATGAGAAATGCATTTAAGCAGATGTGGTGGTGAATGCCTGTAGTCCCAGCACTTGGGAGGCAGAGGCAGGAGGATTGCTGTGAGATCGAGGCCAGCCTGGGCTACATAGTGAGACCATGTCTCCAGAAACGAAAAAAGAATGCAGTTAAAATGTTTTTAATAATTTAAAAATTCTGAACCAGTAGAATTTATCAGAAAATGTATCCGTCCTCTAAGTTCACTTTGACTAGTAGAGTTTCCAGGTATGTTCCTTGTAACTTTTAATTAGTGCATAAAACTAATTATAACATAAAACTGATCAGAAATAGTACAATAGTAGTTAGTACTTATCTTCAACAAAGCAAGCAAAGTTAAATTTATTTTACCTTTGAAAACAAGTGTAAGTAAACAGTTGATTCTAGCTTGTGACTGATACGTCAGAAATTCTCAAGTATTGAAGTCTGTTTTACTGTAGACTGTAGAGTATATCTAGATGAATTCATTCTGGAGATGCAAGATTGATGGTTGTCAAATTTTACCCTGTAGGTTTGTTTAGGACTTGTTCCCCCTATTTTTCATCATTGTGTGTATGTCAGTGTGATGTGCATTTCTAAGGAAGATGACAATTTTGCAACAGGAACAGTGATTCAGTTTGCTTTCCTCAGAAATGATGAGTTAAAAGTCTGGATCATGAAATGTTTTGAGTATTTGATTCACTTTTGTAAATCAGTACAATAAATATTTAATGATCATGAATTAGTTGAGGGATATTTCTTTGATATGTGATCATTAATTATCTAGTTGTATAATAGAAATGGTGGTCTGGGCAATTTCTCACCAGCTAATTTTTTAGTAATTGAATCTATACACTAAGATTTAAGAAAATGTTTGCTAGATTAGTAAGGTATTTTCTCTTTCCCTGAAAACTATTGAAATTGTTATTTAATACCATGATTAGAGTAATTGAAAAATGAAAAAAATTTAAAAAAACTGCTAACCAGTCTCCATGAATACCTACTTGCTGCTTTGGAATCGTAGTAGAAATTCTGGCTTTCTTTTATTTAAGCAGTTTCCAAATAGTGGAAGTACTGTGGAGCCAGGCCACGAGTGTTCCCTGTTTTGAAATCAAGTGCGTTCCTGGAGATCTGGTTCTGAAATAGGTCACTGTAAGGTGATCCTTCTTCTTTGGACATCAATAGAAACCATCAAATGAAGGGATTAAGTTGGTGAGACATTAAGTGTGTATCTTTTTATAGGGAGCGTTAAATGTGTGGGGCTAGTTTCAAAGCCTGTATTTACCACAGGACTGTTTTAAGGATTAACCAAGGTGGAATGCAAGAAAAGATTATTAGGGTAGCTTCTTTGCAGATGAGATTTTTAGATTTAATGTGTATTGGCCTTTTAAAAAAAATCTCTTAATAAAAATTATAGCTTAATGTGCTTTTTGCATACATTCCTTTAGCTAAGGTGAATATATATACTAGGACTTTAATGTAAAATTTTCAATTTTTTAACAGGCCATTGTTTTATATATTTATGTCTGAGTCCTGTCACATTCTTACTGCCTTATTCTTCATTACTTGAGGATTACATTTCTGGATCCTTTACCCTGTAAGAAATGCACAGAAAACTCTCATTTTGTCTGTTGAAAGCTGCTGCATTTTAATTCAGCCCATTATCTGGAGTTTGAGTGCTCATTTATGCATGTATTTATTAGAACCTTGCCTGTCTGTAGATAAGAGGAATAATAATAGCTCCCACCTTTGAGTGTCTCCTATGTGCCAGCTGCTGTGGAAAGCTCTTGACACGCATGCAGACTCATTTCAAATGTGTGAGGTAGGTGATTATCACCATTGTACAGAGACAGTAGGTAGAGCCAAAAGAAATGAAGTAACTTGGCTGTGGTCATACAGTGTAGTAAGTCAGCTATTGCTGTAGTGTCATATAACCTCCAAATTTCAGTGGCTTATTTCTTGGTCACCAGACTCTATTTCTTGGTCATATGCAGCTTTTCTGGGCTTAGGCTTTGTCTTCATTCCACATGTCATGTTCTGGGGCAGAGTGGAAGGCACAGCCACTATATAGGGCATGCTGTTCTCAAGGCAGAGAAAGGACAGAAGCTCAAGGGGCCGGTGGTGGGACAGAGCCAGCTCACACTAGCGTTAGTTAATGCTGTGGTAGGTCCACTTACACTCTGTGGCCAAAGGAAGTCATATGGCCTTGCCCCAAGTCGTAGGGGGTGGGAAGTTTACCTCGCCTACAGGAAGAATAGCAAGGGCAAGGAGGAAAAAAAAAATTCTTGTGTAAGCATAAGTAAGTGTTAGGGACAGAATTTGAATCTTAACAGTTGAGAACATAATGGAGAATATAACACAGAACATAACAGAAGAGTCAAAAACATAATTAACCAGTAAGAAGACTACAAAGTTTTGTTTTAATAAGTTAAAGAGCTGAAGAGGCAGACTCACAGCTGAATAATAGCAGCAGGAGTAAGGATATGAAAGTGTATCATAGTAGGTACTAGAAGTTGATCCATCTCCGTGATGGCTGAGTCACCAAGATTAGGTGATATTCAGATTGACTCATGATTTAGGAAACAGTGTTAAAATTAAAATGCTTCTGTTACATCAGAATTATCAGAAATTCAGTTAAGTAAAATACAGTTCCAAATGAGATTTGTGAATTTTTTCATGAAATTTTTTGAACGCCAGTAGTAGATTTAAGGGACAGAATTTGTGTTTTTATCTGTGCTCTTTAAATTTGGGGGAGACTTGAGTTTTATAGTTCCATTAATAAAGAATAGAAAAACGTTACTAGTTATTGAAACTACCAGGATGAAAATGAAGTGGTTTTCTAAAAACTGTGTCTTTATACATTATATATTTATACATGGTTCAAAATTCTGCAGGCACAAAAAGGTATAACAATAAAAGGTTTTCTTCCCACCCATTTGGCTTTATTGGAAGAAGCCAGTGTTTGAGGGATATTATATGGGTGTTTGCAGACAAATTGATACATAAAAAGCTTCCTGTTCTTTTAACACATGTGTGACATCCCACTGTATGGCCGTACTATATTTAGTCATCCCTACTGATCACAGTTTGGTTGCTTCCAATATTTCACTAATAAGAACACTAATAGAACAAATATTTTTGTGTATATATTGTTTTATATATGTACATATCTTAGAATAAATTCTGGAAGCAGAATTACTATTGAGTCAAGAAGTAAATACAAACTGGGCATAGTACTATAGCCTATAATCCTTGAAAGGCTGAGGCAGAAGGATTGCAAGTTTGAGCCCAGCTTGGATAATTTAGTAACTTGGACCCTATCTCAAAATAAAAAATAACAAGGTTTTGGGGATGTAGTTCAGTGCAAGGACCTTGTGTTAAATCCCTAGTACCACTAAAAAAAACAAAGGAAAACTAGTAAATACAGTTGCGATTAGATGTATAGATTTATTAGTTATTTTTGTTGTATATTTTTTTCATTGTGTTTTTTCTTGATTGAGCTGGGTGTGGTGGGGCACAACTATAATCCCAGCACTCTGGGAGGCTGAGGCTGAAGGATTGCAAGTTCTGAGCCCAGCCTGGGCACTTATCAAAATCGACAAAAAAGGAAAGGTGCTGGGGATGTAACTCAGTGCAAAGGTCCTAGATTTAACTCCAGCATGGCAAAAGGGTTGGGGGACAGAGAGAGAGAAAGAAATAAGTATAGCTCTTCACTCTGAAAAAAGAAAAAAGCAGACAGTGCTTCTGCTAATAGCAATGAACACTGCTGACACCTTTTTGATAACCTTTTTGGTTATCCTTCTAAGCTTGCTAAATATGTACAGTAGAAGTTTTGTGTTTACCTTGATGCCCAAAGCAGAGCTGAGGGCTGGATGTGATGATGATGCACATGGGAGGCTGAAGCAGGAGGATGGCAGGTTCCCATCAAGTCTGGGCAACTTAGGAGCCCTGTCTTGAAATAAAAATTTTTTTAAAAACTTAAGGGTAGGGGATATAGGTGAATGTGAAGGCCTTGGGTTCAAACCCCATTACCACAAACCACAACCTCCCCCCCTCAAAGAAAACCTGGCATCTCAGATTCTTATTTATCATGTTTTTTCCTGATCATTTTAGATGCTAAGTTCACTTAAAATTTGAAAGATAGTTTAGAAAAATAATGGATAATAGGGAAAATGAATGAAAAAGTAGAAGATACATGTTCTTATTTTTTCCTTTTTATCTCAGTCATTAATCTTTACTGAGAAGAATTTCTTTTTAAGGCTTTAGATTTGAAAAGAGTGTGTTTAATAGTTGATTTCAGTTTTTATTTGAATTGGTTCAATAAGGAACAGTTTTAAAAAATGAGGTTACTCTTTAACTTCAAATGTGAGCCCTGATAATAAACCTTTGCTGGAAGAACATTGCTATCAGTTCTTATTGTTGGTTATCTTTATTTTTTGTCTGTATCTGGGACCCAGGCTAGAATGGATATTACGTAGGCTCTGGACCTTTTCCTGTTTGTTTTCTTCTTGTCATTTCCTAGTCATGGTTGTGACATGACAAATCCAGAAAATGCTCATTGAATTAATGAGGTAATTCAGTAATCTAGACATTGTTGGATTATTTTACTTTGCTTGCGTTGCTATTCTTTTAGTGCTTTTGGGGGTGGGTGTCTTTTACTAAAAAACCCCTAATTCCCAGGATTTTGTTTTACAGTATATTGCTATTTGCATTATAAATCATTGGTGTCAGTCCATTCTTAAAATAAAATCTAATTTTTTATTTGTGTTCTGTGTTCCTGTGCTGATGACTTATGTTGAGTATTCCTAATCTGTTACTATCTAAGAAACAGTCTCATGCAACAGTCTCTTTTCAAACTTCTGTTTTGTTCCCCTTTGGAGTTGGTGTTTTCTCCTTACATTGGCACTAGGTGAAGAGATTTGAAGTTATTTTTGATGGACTGTCATTGGAATACAAGAATACCAACTTCACATGCTGGTGCTGAGGCATCTTATTTTATATAGCTGTAATTTCTTTCAGGAGGAGGCAAAGCAGATTCAGAATCTGCAGAAAGCAGGTACCCGTACAGACTCTAGAGAGGATGAAATCTCTCCTCCCCCTCCCAACCCAGTGGTGAAGGGTCGCCGGCGACGTGGTGCTATCAGTGCGGAAGTCTACACGGAGGAAGATGCTGCATCATATGTTAGAAAGGTAGTTTTGATATCTTAACATTGAAGAAATGTTTTTGGGACCCACTTAACAATCTAGTCTCCTTTGATGAGTGCATGTACTACTTCAAATAAAGACAAAAGTAGTTATTGAACACTGGAGGATAGAGTTCTATAACAGCATGACAGCAGAGGAAATAACTATTAGGGATTATAAACCAATACAGTACATGGGTGCATTCTGAGGGTTCATCATTTCCTGCTGCTTTGCAGTTGAAGAAGCAGGAAGTACTCCTTTTTCTCTTATATTCTGGTACCAGCCTTTTGATACTCTCTACAGTAATTCATGTACAACTTTTAACCTCTTATCATACAGTCTTCGTTCATCCTACTCTTTTCTTTCTCAGAGCCAGCTGGCGATTTTGAGTTATGCTAATAGCCTTGACCAGGGGAGTAGGGGTTAGAATTCCAAGCCCTTAGGGCTTATAAAACTAACAGTACCAAAAGGCACCAGTTAAAAAAATATTTAGTTTTAACTATGCATGGTGGTGCTTACCTTTCATCCTAGCACTTAGGGAGGCTGAGGCCAGAGGATCCTAAGTTTGAGACCAGCCTGGGCAACTTCGTGAGACCCTGTCTTAACCCTTGGGGCATAACGCCAATTTTGTCATAAAGGGGCATTGTTGTGGAAGTAAAATATCCATGTTTATTCTGTATAGTATTTCTGTTACTTTCATTTTATGAGTGAGTTTTATTATATTAATAAGTACCTAACAAAAAAATAAAGTTTTGAATAATATTTATTGGATGTTTATAAAAAACATTAAATTTTTCAACATCGACTTTTTTGTTGCATAGAGTTTAAAAAATAACAAAGTCCTATATGAACTATGATGAAAAATACCAATAGAACGCTACAAAAAAAAAATCTATACTTCATTTATCATACCTAAAGGCAGTCTTCACACATGACAATAACATGTTCCATACACATGTATCACTTACACTGACAGCACATATGTTTTGCTTTTCTGGCCTTTTTGTAGGACATATTTGGTATCTCATTGGTCTTGGAGTTTTGTCAGGAAATTTCTTAGACAATGTGTAGTTAACAGGAACATAAAATATCTATAAAATAAAGTATTAAAATTCTTAATACGTATTGCACATTTAGAATAAACATTTTCACATCAGTTGTTTACTTGCTTACAAAACCTAAAAGATAACATCAGAAATAAAAACCTATGTAAATTACAATGTTAATACAAACAAAAGTCTACCACAGATGGGCCTGGGATTTAGCTCAGTGGCACCATGCCTGCCTTGCAAGCGCAAGGTGGTGAGTTCAATCCCTGGTACAGTACACCCTGCCCCCCCCGCCCCAAAGTCTACCACAGAAATAATCTTTGCTTCACCTGTCACACCCAAGGCAGTCTTCACACATGAAAACTGCCCGTTTCATATCATACACAAGTATCACTTACACTGTTAGTATGTATGTTTTGTTTTTCTGTCCTTTTTTTGTAGGTCACAGTTGCCATCTTTGTTTTTTTTTTGGGGTACCTGGGATCGAACTCGGGTTGTTGCACTTGTGCAGCAGGTGGCGAAACCACTGAGCTAAATCCCCGGCCCTACAGCTGACATCTTTTTGGTTTTCCTGTTGTAGTAGGTCTCTGTGATACTGTGCTGGCCTGTTCACCTGTCAGCTTACTAGTGTGCTCCACAAATTTTTTGTGTAGTGCCCTGGGCAGAAACAGTTTGTTTTTCTTCTGCTGTAAATGATGTCTTATGAGTTTCAGTCCTAGTCCTTTAAGAAAATTTTTCCGTGGTATTTTCCACTTGCTATTTTCTTTATGAACTATCACACTGTATATGCTACATATGTTTAGGATGAAGTAAAACACGGCTATTGGCCAGTGTCAACATCTACTCTGCCTTTAGTTTTGTTGTAGAAAATTAAGCATCTTAGGCTTCCTCGAGGTTTCCCTATCAATATTTCCATCATGGTGCAGTGTTGATATCAGTACTAGTTTGTTTTTCTTTGCCATATACAAGGCCAATGTTACATCTTTCTGAAATCCAGTAACTGTACTATACAGTTCTCTGTTTTGAAATTGCAACATTTCATTTGGAATTACTGCTTTGTTCCTGTGTACAGTTGCTGCACTGGTCAACTTATGCTCTGTTAGCAATTGCAACTTCAGTTGAAAATTGATAAACCAATTGTTGACTGTCACATTCCAATTGGTTTGGGAGGTGGGAGCAAAAAAGCTGTTCACATCATTTGGTTTGTTACTATGTGAATAAGGACCTAGTGGCTGAGTTCCAGGATAAATTTCTAAATTGAAACATAATAAGTTCACATCTACAAATGCATATATTTTTATGTTATATTTTGAAAGGTTTTTTGGGGGCATATATTGCCCGAAGCTACAGTGACCATGAAATGCTGCAAGGTGTTCATCAGTAATCTTGTATTCAGATGGTGTGTACATTGTTTGACAGTTACCCACAAATCTCTCAAACAGTGAGCTGATAGCAGCTAGATTATCAGTTCTTTTTCTTTCTTGGTGGGTGGTTTTGTCATGAAACCTGAGGCAGTTTTGAAGGAAACCAAATCTCTTCAGTATCATCTACAAACCTCACACCCTTGCTTTTCCATAAGTTTTTACATTCCTACAATTACCATGAGAAAGCCTTGATAAGTAAAGAAGACTAATGAATTCTTTCAGCTCTGCTAGTAAGGTGTCATAATAAATACATTTTTGAGTATGGCTATTGGTGCATACAGAATGTTTTATTTGTATTTCAGCATTTGTGTATTTCACAATATCTTGTAGCGTTTCATCTGTTACAAACAATTTCCAACATTGAATGGCAGGGCTGGCATTCTGTCCAATAAGATTCACCCCTGGCAAGATCCCCACTGTATTTTTGGGCCTAGTTCTAATATTGGATCATTCCACTTGGTGGCGTGACCATTTTGTACCATTTCAACTAGTCAAATATGTACTCACATTGCTGTTGTCTTTGTTATCTGAATCAAGAAGGTCTGCATGCCCTGGATGTATATTAGTCGATTCTTGCTCCATTTCATTGTCACAAGAGCTTTGGCTCACATGGCCAAAGTCAGAGTCATTATCATCTTCATCCAAGCATTAGTAATACGATGATTCATTTTCAACCTCTGCTAAAACTTGCAAATCTGGTTTTTCATGTGTCATTGTACTGAATTGGGCTACTTATACCAGAAAAATCAAAAGAAAACTTCTTTTTAATATAAATCCTAAATGCACAGAAATTTAGCAGTGAGCATTTGATGGGTATTTACCATTCACCTGTTACTGCTTTGGAGTTCCTGTACACACCTTGTTCATTTGCCAAGTGGGTGAACACACAGATGGGTTTTTGCTTTCCCCAGGCCCAGCTACTGTGAGTCACACCCGCATTCCATTCTGGTAAAATACATGTTTTCGTAACAGAAGAGTGGTGTGGGTGTGTTTTATTTCCTGTGATGCTCAGGTAAACACATGTAAAACCTGCTGTCCAAGCATTATATGGGTAAAAATCCTGGTTTGACACTTTTGCACACATGGACACACCTTGCTATTCATTGTACCGAGTGTGTAACAAAGATTGCTTCCGGTATCCCCCGTGTGCAGCTACTGAGTTGCACAGCAGGCTACTATTATGCTAAAGTAAAAATTTACAGTAGAAAAATATGGGATAGGTGGTTGTAATCAGGTGTTATGCTCTTAAGAAAATAAAAAGGACTGGGGATGTAGCTTAGTGCAAAGGGCCTGGTCCCCCCACTACCACAGAAAAATCAAAATTGAAACAACTTAGTTTTGCCTTAGGACAGTGATGTTGGGCAGATGTTTTTGGTTTGTTTAGTTGTTAACTGGGAACCAAGTAGTGGCCTTTAAATACATGCCTGGTTATAGGCAAAGGGATTGATTAGTCAGTACTTGGTGAGTACTTTGTGAATCAGTGATTGTCTAAGAGTGTTGTAGTGAAAATACTTAACTCAAAACAGTCTCATTTAAATACTGTAAGGTGGCCTGACCTTTAATTGAAATGCACATTGCAAACATGAAATGTTTTTGGTGTATGGAATTGTCATTTGACCTTCAATTTTTTTCTAGGTTATACCAAAAGATTATAAGACAATGGCTGCTTTGGCCAAAGCCATTGAAAAAAATGTGCTGTTTTCACATCTTGATGATAATGAAAGAAGGTAAGAGCAGGTTCTTTTTTTTATACTGTTTTTTCACTTAGGGTGTGGTCTCAAACTATTGCCAGCATTTATTGCAAGTTTTGAGGTTCTTAGTTGTTCACCAAATGACAATTGAGCTGAAAAACTGGGAGCTTAATTCTAGGTTAATACTGGAATTCCATAGAAGAGACTCGTGAAATCTAAGACTAGGCCTTCTGTCTCTTGCAGTGATATTTTTGATGCCATGTTTCCAGTCTCCTTTATTGCTGGAGAGACAGTTATTCAGCAAGGTAAGGGCTGCTATTTCTGTGACATGTAGTATGGTTATGGAAGAGCAGATGAGACTGGAGGATTGATTGTTTTGGTTTTCTTTTGTTGGAGTTTGTTTTCCTCTTTGATCCTTCTACTTTCTGTTAATACTATTGGATTTTCTTAATTAAAAGTTCTTGGCACTAAAAATACATTAAGGGATTAATATTTCTAATACAATTTTGTTTAAACTTGTTAAAGGAAATGCCTATTTTTAAGTTAAATGTTGTAGGGAATTTCAGAACAATACAGATCTCATATTTGTATTGGTTATTAAGCACTTTTAAAATAGAAATAAAGTACCTATATTCTTTATTATGTAGGCAATCTATTTGTAAGATTTTGTGTCTCCTACAGATTCTTACCTTTTATTGCTATCCAGATTGACATGAATATAACCTGTTGGATATCTTCTTGTTTTCTTATTCTTGACATTTTCATGGATCTTCATAAACCACATATTTTCCCATTTTGTGACAGTCTGATATTTTGCTATTAACTATTTGAATCATTTCTTGCCTTGTTCTAGAGTGCATAGGAGTTAATAACTTTGTACATATATGTAACTTTCAAAGTTTTTTGGTTTTTTTAGATATTCTTTTTTTTGGGGGGGGTACCGGGGATCGCATTCAAGTCCTTGTGCTTGCACAGCAGGCGGTGAAACCACTGAGCTAAATCCCCTGCCAGATACTCTTTAAAATGAGATTACTGAGAATAAAATTGATCAGTCCTGTGACTGAAAATATATTGCTGGATTTTTTTTCTTAAAGATTGTGTTCATCTTAGTATGCTCTTCTATACTAATGTTGTTCTTTTTGCCTTTTTTTCTCTTTTAGGTGATGAAGGAGATAACTTCTATGTGATTGATCAAGGAGAGATGGATGTAAGATTTAATAATACAAATTTGTTAATAATCTTAAAAGTTATTGTTTGATTTTTATTACTTCTAAGAAGTAATAAGTATTATTGAAGTGCTGAAGAGCCATTACAGCTCTTTTAGGTCAGATTGCATCAGCACCTTTTGCCCAGTATTTTTATGACACAGACTTTTTATAGATAATTTCTATAGCTACAGCTTTTGCTTTTGTAGTAAAGTGTGTGTATGCTGGGAAGTAAGATCAAAATACAGTAAAGGAGAGTCTATACCTGGCAATTAGCTATGAAACTTAGTGTAGCTTTCTTCTGTAACTCTTGTTTACCAATGAAATGGGGACAAAAATAGCCCTGATCTTGTAGGATTGTTAAAAAATTCCGTGACCTAATGCAAGTAAAATGCTTGGTACAGTGCTCAGCACAGTAAATATATAGTAAATGTATGTCATTGATATTAGTGCTTAGCTGATCTTTTTCCTTCATTCCTACAGAGAACTTTTTTCATATCAGATAATTGCATATTTAAGACATTGTCAGAATTCGACTGTTTTGTCTTGCTGTGTTCTGAAAACATAATCTATACTGTTTTTTTTTTTTTAAACAAGTTTAGGAGTCTGATCTTTCATAAAGGTTTGAGAGTTTTTAACACATTCTTGTATATATGTAGAGAAAAATGCTTCTTTGGTGTCCTTTGCATTTTAGGTATATGTGAACAGTGAATGGGCAACCAGTGTTGGGGAAGGAGGGAGCTTTGGAGAACTGGCTTTGATTTATGGAACACCTAGAGCAGCCACTGTTAAAGCGAAGACAAATGTGAAACTATGGGGTATCGACCGAGACAGCTATAGAAGAATCCTTATGGTAAGACACCACGGGCTTTTGGAGTGTGACTTAGAATTCTGATCTGTGTAAATAATGTTTGAGTAATATCACAAAATTGAAATGACAATATGCCTTTTTTTTTTTTTTGGTACCAGGGATCGAACTCAGGTCCTTGTGCTTGCGAGGCAGGCAGCAGAACCACTGAGCTAAATCCCCAGCAGTGTGCCTTATTTTTAATGATCAGATATTTTGCATTGAGCCCTATTTAGCATTATTCATTATGTCAATTGAGGCAGTGATGTTTTAGAACAAAAGTTCGGCCAGAAATAACAGGAAACAAAATGTGTATATGTAATGGTCAGATTGGGTTTAGAAATTTATCAGTTTGCCTATAGGTGCATGTTAATATACCTAATCTTACCCACCACAGATTGCCTGATGGGCTACTTTAAAGTGGATAGAGTTTTTTAAGGCCACTCAGGAGTAATTAGCATCTCTAAACTGAAAATGGGTTGTCAGTAATACATATGTCCTCTTTTACTAGGGGAAATAAAACCGTTGGGGCAATTCTGTTAATACACAATTTTTGAGAACTTTGTGGTACATTAAAAAGTAGCTTTGGATCTTTAAGTCCTAGCTAATGGCATTGGCCTTTCTGAATGGTTTTCTTAAATTTAGCAGAGCCCATCTGGGCATTTGAAAATATGCAGTCTGATGTACTTCAAACATTTTTGGTATTCAGGATACATATATATATATATTTTGAAATCTTCCTTTATTTCTGAAAGTCTTATGTACATACTAAAATTCACAAATGCTCAAGTCCCTTACATAAAGTGGTGCAGTGTTTGCATATAATCTGTGCACATCCTCTGTATACTTAAAATTTTTTTTTTACTGGTACATGCTTGCAATACGAAATGCTTACATTCCTTTTGTGGAGTTGTTACATGTATATAACACACCTTAATTCCTTTTTTTTATCCCCCCCCCATCTCTGGATCCCTTTCCCGTTTGAGAAAGATCTACCTCTCCATACTTCTGTAATCTTTTATTTTGCTCTTTATTTATAGTTTGGGTTTCTCATACAAGAAGCCGTGCAACATTTATGCTTGTGTGTCTGATTTATAAAATTTCACTTAACATTACGGTCTCAGAGTGCATCCATTTTCTACAAATGACTAGTTTACCTTTCTTTATGGCAGAGTAGTGTGTACTGCATTGTGTGTGAATACCACATGTTCTTTATCCATTCATTTGATAGTGGACATACAGGCTGCTTCCATAATTCAGCTATTTTGAATTGTGCTGCTATAAACACAAGTATGCATATATCACTGTAGTATGATGCTTTAACTTGTTTCGGATGATACCTAAGAGGGGAATATCTGGGTCAAATGGAATTTCTAGTTTTAGTTTATTTGTGGAATCTCCATACTGATTTCCATAGTGGTTATACTAGTTTACATTCTCACCAATAATGTAGAAAGGTTCCTTTTTCTTCATACTTTAAATTATCTCTGGATTATTTGCTGACATCTAATAACAAAGTAAATACTATGTAAATAGTTGGTGTATTGTACTACGTTGTTTGGAGAGTAATGTCATGAAAAAAGTCTACATGTTCAGTACAGATAAAATTTTTGTCTATATTTTTAATCTGCATTTGACTGAATGTTGGACGCAAAACCTGTGGATGTAGAGTGCATACTGTGTGTGTATGTATATATACAGGTATACATGCACATAGATAATGTACATAGGCATGTATATTTTTGGCAGGGGATGCTAAGGCATTTTACTATATAAGGAAGTTTTATTATAAAGGAAAGTATTTCTCCCTTTTTTTCTCTCAGATACATTTGACCCACTTTGTAGATAACGTGGTTGTGTTTGGGGGAAATGGGATACTTCTTTGGAGTGTGTAAGTGGCAGCAGTTTATTTCCCTGTCTGGGTGGTTGAGGTTTTGGGGGAGCATTCTGTGCAGGGAGTATAGCCACCTACTGCTCATGTGTTACTTGGTGGTTTTTGGAGAACTGACCTTTTACTTATTTGGCATTTCATTGCTTGGTGGTGCGATGTAGCTAAGATGCCTGGTGTTCCTCTTGGGAGCATGTAACAGAGAGCTTTTTTAGGGTCTCATCGGTCTTCAGCATGAAGAAAAATGATCACAAGTCCAGAAGCAGGAGCAGCAGGCTTTGACTTTTTTTTTGTTTGTTTGTTTTTTACTGGGGATTGAACTCGGGTCCTTGGGCTTACATGGCAGGTGACGAAACCACTGAGCTAAATCCCTGGCAAGCTTTGACTTTTTAAAAAAAGTTTATTTGAAACATATTTCACAACATTGTATAATAATTTTTTTTTTTTAATTTATAGGGAAGCACACTGAGAAAGCGAAAAATGTATGAAGAGTTCCTTAGTAAAGTGTCTATTTTAGGTGAGTTTTGGAAAGTTTGTATTGAGAACTTCTAATGTGTTAATGATACTCAGCAGAACTCATTATCTTTCTTAAAAAATTAAACTGATTTATATTTTTGTTAATAGTAACAAAAAGCATGTGGAAATGTTTTGGAACAATATTGAAGAGTAAGTTAAAAGTAATTTTAGAACCTGTTGAGTTTGTTAATCCTGTAACTGGACATGGGAAAAGGTTTGTGAAAGTATAGGTGCTGCTCATTCTTCCTAAAAAGACAGAAGGGTTTAAAGAGTCCTCTTCTGACTGTAGACATTCCCTTATTCCTGCTGGGACATGTTCCATCTCTAGTTCTGTCACTGAATTCATTGGTTCTGGAAAGTATTTCCAGGAATGCATTTCCTCTAGATTAGATATCATTTGCTGGCATTCTCTGCAAACATGACAGACATGTCAAAATTTAAAATAAAGCAGGTTAATTGGAGACAATTCTGTGTGTTTTGTTATGTAGACTGGGAAGCATTAGAACTTAGAGTTTAGGAACAGGGATAGGAATAAGTAACGTGATACTCTTTTGCCCTTTGTTTTGATTCAGCGATTTGACTTCTTCCCCTCTCCCTTTTTTTTTGCTTCCTTCTTTACCCTTTAAAATAGTCACATTCACTCAGTGTCTCAGTTCCTTTGGGAACAAATATTATTTTCCTGTTCTTTTTTCATAAATTCAACTGAGGAGTTTAATGGGTAAATTATTTGTTTGAACCTTTGGAAAAATATGGATGTTGAAAGTATTATTTTTGTATAGTATATTTATAAGTTTGGTTTGTGTTGATGGCAATCTTTAGGAACACTTAATGGTCATATTTTCTTATTCCTTTGCCACTGGGTGCAGTTGGTATAGATTAACCTGGCTACTAAAGTATCTTAAGGAGCCGTCTGATGGGGATTCTACTGACAACTGTGTTTTTTCTGAGACATTACTAAAGCATGGTTGAATCTCTGTATACTGTGTTTTAAAAGTTTTAGCACCACCAAATAATGTAGAGAAATTCTTTGGATTCTTTCAGAGTCTCTGGACAAGTGGGAGCGTCTCACAGTAGCTGATGCATTGGAACCAGTCCAGTTTGAAGATGGGCAGAAGATTGTGGTTCAGGGAGAACCAGGGGATGAGTTCTTCATTATATTAGAGGTGAAGAATTTTGACATTTGATTCTTTACAAAGCTGTACACCGTAAGTGGAAAAAGGAGGGCTAATTCTGATTTACCGGTTTAATTTTTGAGAATATCTGACACTTTTACTTATAAATTATCTTTTACTTTGAAATGCATTTATTTGGTTTTTCTGCCAGTCTGCTTTATTTTAAAAGTGTTCAAGTCTTAATTCTGGAAGGATGTTGGACACAAGTAGCCAAACAGTGAATTACCCAATTACTATTTATCATGTAAGCCAAAAAACCTCAGCAGTATAACAAACTAATGATTCTGCACCATCCTTGTTAAAATGGCACTGTTTGTGGTATTTGATAAATCAGGCTCAAAGATGGTTAATAAATTCTAAAAGTTACTGTTTTATATCTTCACAGTTCTTGGATAATCTTACCTGCCATGTGTATTCAAATAGCAAATTCAAAGCAAATTCAACTTTTGTCATAGTGCAAAAGCAGCCATAGAAACATAAATGAGTGGGTGTGGTATTATAATAAAATGTTATTTACAAAACAGACAGAAATTGAGTTTTGTCCTCCGTCTGTAGTTTGCTAAACAAGTGTGGTTAGCAGGTACCTTAGCTTGATAAGAAGCTTGCAAGCAAGGAATGCTGGTTAAATAGGAATCAAAATTGATATGGTGACATAACTTTTCAGTTTCTTTTACCACATGAACGCAGATGTGTTGAATTAACCACTGATTTCCCCCACTCCTCCATTTTCTGCAAGATAGCTAAAATTGCACAGGATATTTACAATGCCACTCTGGGTTAGAAAGTATTTGTTTAGCTTTCTGGTAATTTTCTTACAGGGGACAGCTGCTGTGCTACAACGTCGGTCCGAAGATGAAGAGTTTGTTGAAGTGGGACGACTGGGGCCTTCCGATTATTTTGGTATGTTAGATTCCCTCATATTAAATGTGTACTGTACTTTTAGGTTACTGCACAGTGAAGCATTGTAGTATTTCATAATTTTGTCATCTTAGTTTTATTTTTATTAGTGCATTTTAATTATACAGAATAATAGGTTTTATTATGTGACTTTTTTTTTGTACCGGGGATCGAACTTGGGTCCTTGTGCTTGCGCAGCAGGCACTTAAAACCATTGAGCTGAATCCCTGGCCCTGTTATGTGACTTTTTCATTGCATACCCATACTTTGAATATACCCTCATGTTCATCTTCTCTCTCCTTCTCCCTCTTCTCCCTGGTCCCCTTCTTCTCTAATAGTCGCCCTTTTACTTTCATGTCATCTTTTTTTTCTCTAGATCCCACATGTAAGAGGAAACATGCGATACTTGTTTTTGAATTTTGTATTTTAATTGCTTTTTTGGCTCTGAAAATAGTATCAAATTTTGATCCCTATTCAGTTAATAATTGAGTTGTCGATCGTCTTATCTATTAGTTGACGCTTTCTGTTTGTTTTTTGAGACAGAATTTTGTGTGGTCCGGGCTGGCCCTGGATTCTCTGTGTAGGTCAGGCTGGCCCTGGATTTGTGTCCTCCTGCCTCAGCCTCTCAGGTGCTGGGATTTTTGGTGTACACTACCACAGCTGGCTTTGGTAATTTTTTTTTTTCTCTAAATGTACAGTTAGGGTGGCCTGTGCTAAGTTATGGTGAGGAAACAAACCTTTGTTATTGTCTCAAAAGTACACTTTTTAGGGAAATGTTTCTGTGGGAATTGGCCTGCTCTTACGTTGCTCCTTTCTCTTTTCCAGGTGAAATTGCACTACTGATGAATCGTCCTCGTGCTGCCACTGTGGTTTCACGTGGGCCTTTGAAGTGCGTTAAGCTGGACCGACCTCGTTTTGAACGTGTCCTTGGCCCATGCTCAGATATCCTCAAACGAAACATCCAACAGTACAACAGTTTTGTGTCACTGTCTGTCTGAAATGTGCCTCCTGTGCCTCTCTTTTTCCTCCCCTAGTCCACGCTTCACTCATGCAGACTGCTTTATTGTCCCTACTTGCAGCTGGCATTGCAGCTTCTTGTCTCTTTATATTATTAAAAGTTGCTTTTATTGCACCGTTTTTAATTTGGAGCATTAACTAAATGCTCGTACACAAATAAATACAAGAGTTCTGTGGACTTTGCTGTTACTGCTTCTCTCTGTGCAGTGTTAGTGTTCACCTGGGCAGTGAGTGCCGTGCCTTTTGGTGAGGGTGGATCCCAGCACCAGTGATTTCCATAGAGTAATGATATAACAGTGCAAGATTTTTTGTGATATAATTTCTGGTTATAAGCATATTTAGACTGTGGCCGTATATATGCTGTATTTCTATATAGAATAATGATTTCTCATTAAGCTGCAGGATTAGGAAAAATGGTTGTAGAAAATCTTAGTGTAGTAGAAAGACATATGCTTGTAATTAAACTAGTTAAAGAGTGGAAAAATGCCCATTTTTTTTTTTTTGCTGATTATCAGATGGATATGATTGTTTCAGCCCCCCAACCTAAATTTTCATTTGCCAAGGTATTTTTGCCTGGTTTGTTTATATCTTGTTATTAATGTTTCCTCTCTCATTCTGAAATATTTTTATGTGTGGCTATCTATATCTGCCTTTTAAGTTTGAAACCAAATCAGAGACTGCAAATATTGGGTTGTGGTTTAACTACATCTGCCTCAGCCCACAAGTCTGATTAGACTTTTATCCAGCTAGTGCCAAATACTGATGATGAGATGCTAAATCGAAAATAAGAATTTGAGATCTATGTTCTTGGTTGTTAATTTAGAGCTTTTGGTTAGCATAGAACCTTCAGTTAACTCCAGCGTAATCTCCTGTGCTGACTAAACTCTGATTCCAGGAGATTGGATTTGCTGAGTGGCTACAGATGGAACAAATGTCATACGGAAAAATGGAGGTTATGTTGCTAAAGGGAGGAACCAGGTAGATAAAGTTAGTTATGGCAAATTTTCCTCCACTAAATTCACTGGGGCTTGAGATTTGGGAAGAAGTTTTTGTACTTGGATTTAACCTTTTCCCCTCCTTTTTTTATGTCAAGTAGAATTTCTGATGGGGTAGAGGTAGGTAGGATGTGTTTGTGTGTGGTCTAAAAGGCCTTCCTGCTCAAAGTCTGGCTTTCCTGTCTAGTCCATATTTCCCTGGCATTTTTTTTCTTTTTTTAAGTAAACCTGTGTTTTGAGTCTTAACTGTATTTCAGTATTTTCCAGCCTTATGTGTTACATTATTCCAATGATACCAACAGTTTATTTTTATTATTGTTATTTTTTAAACAAAATTTCACAGTTCCATAATGTAGGCACTTTTATTTTCATTGTGATTTATATATATAATGTAGGGTTATATTTGGGAGTGACTGCAAGTATTTTCCACTTGTGTGCAACTGGTTCTGATTAATAATCCCCTCTCTTATCCTTTCCCAGGTAATTTAAATTGGCCAAGGTAGATTTTTTTCATAGATTTGAAAAGTTTTTAGGTTGTTACTAACTTGGAATAGAAATCTGAGAAATTTTATTTACATTTTAGTGTGGGATAGAAAGCCACCTTGTCAAAATTTTTTAATTTTCACAATCTATATTAAATGAGGCTTTTATGATCTGTACTTTGTGTTTGGCTACTTTTTTGATATTTAAAACATAAAAATAAAAATTATGTTCCTATCAGCTTAAAGCTTGATTTGATCTTTGTTTAAATGCCAAAAATGTACTTAAATGAATTATGTAGAATGCCATGAAATTGCAGTTTCATATATGTATATAATCATGTTCATGTGTATTGATACATATACTGCTTTCTAAATGAGTTTTACTCAAACCATTTGGCTTGCTATATTCCCTTTTGTAGTTTTTAATCTTAGACATTTTAAGATAAGCCTAAATTTAACAATTATTACATTTAAAGCTTTATCTTTTGTGCAGTCTAAGTGTATGTGAGAAATCACAGTTGGCGTAATTTGTCTCAGTTGATATTCAGGGCTTACGGAGTCATTTTTTTCTGGATTTGATGAGTCGATTTATGAGATCTGCTTTAGAAAGTATAGATGGCCAGAGGACCATTTTGTATTGTTTCCTGGTTACCAGTCTGATTATATTGTGTGTGCTAATATATGCTATTCCTTTTGTTATAGTGTGTCTTAATGGTAGGTCAAGTAATAAAAGATTAAATAATTTAAATTCTTAAATGAATCAGTTTTTCTTCCCTTTCTCCTTTCTATCTTCCTCTGTCCTTCCCCCAAAATCTGCTACTCTGGAGGGCAAGAATGAAAAGGGAAAGTGAATTATGGGATCTGTGTTTTGAAAGAGTAATGTTTGTTTTCAGTTTGTCAAAGGCTGGATCTCATAACCTTGCATGAAGGGTAATTGAAATGTAGCAGACTTACCCTACCCCAAGGTATGGGAGGAAAGATTCAATCAAAAGCCAAAGATTTCCTTGTTATTGAAGGTAAATTAGTTTTGTGGCCTTGGAACTTTCCCAGATTTAATGAGGAAACCGTTTCTAGATGAGTATGTCATTGGTTTTAATTTAAGATATGCATTTAGCTACTTAAAAATGCTTTTTAAATTTTTCATGAATAAAGCCTTGTTTCTAATGCTTATTCCTTAGTTTTTTGAGGATGAAATAATGAAGTTGTACTCATTAGTATGTTGATACTAATTTCTTCACATGCAATGGTGCCAGAAGACTGTTCTTTAAATTTTGCTGCTTTGATACATACGCACCTTGTCCAGATTCTATAATCCCTTTCCTCAGCCAACTGCAGTTGAACTTTGAGAATCACAACAGGGTATAACTGAAGGAGGTTTATCAGGGTTGATTGTCTTCATTGTAGCTTAAATCTCCCTCTAAAATAGTGGCCCACATAGTCTCATTTTTTTCATTTGTTTGTTTAATGCCTTCAGTGTTGACATTTTAAAATTGAGCTAGCGTGATGTCAAGGCTTTTGATAATTATTGTTTTGAAAATACTACTTTATCTCCAACCACAAATTGCTGGACCCTTTTTGTACTTTTGTTAGGCCCTGGTAGTGTATTCTTAGTTGAGTTGAGAGAACGTTGAGGATAACCATTTAATTTGTCCCCAAAGCTATCTGTCGTAATAGTTATTAAAGCCTGTGGTTATACGAACTTAAGGTGTTATATTAAATCTCTCCTTTCTTATGGGTATGGGGTTTTAGTAAGGAAACTTGCATTGTTGAATACATATATAGCTAAAATTTGTTTCTTGACATGACTTCAGAACTGTGACATGACTCCACCTAAAACTAAAAGCACCAGTGAATGTGTTTTTTTTTAATGTAAAAGTTCCGTTTTGTGATTTTAAAAGTTGCCACTAGATGGAGAGATTTTTAAAATCATCTTTATTAATCTCAGATCAGTTCCTTTCATAGATGCATTCTGTATTTGCAAATCTGCTTACTTAGATTTATTTGTAACCCCAAGCTACTATAATACTTATAGAGTGTTTTTTTCAAGGACCTGAGCAGAGCAATGAAGTTTGAGTCTCCAGTGAATGTCTTCCCAGCTGAGGTTGAATCAAGGGGACATTCAGTCTTCTGGTTTCAGCTCTGAATAAGTGTCATTTTCTTGGTCTTTTTAGTGGCACATTATTTTTTTGTGTTTTTTGTTCATGATTTTATTTAAAAGGCCTCCAAGTATAGGGATTAGGTGTTGACAGGTGTTCCTAACTCCAAAAAAGCTGTGGTATACCTTATGTAGAAAGTACGTTTATTAGATAAGCTTTGTTCACTCATAGTGCTGTTGGCCATGAGTGCAATGTTAAGGAATTGGCAATATAAAACAAGTTGTCTTTAATACATAAAACAAAACTTGTGTATTTATGGGTTGGCCAAACTGAGACTGGAGACTACCAGGGACCTGGGATTTCCTGAATTTCCCCTAGGAGTAGTGATTCAGTATTTGCCAGTTCAGTGTCTGACAATTTTCTAGGCCATATGTAGGAGAATTAACTTTTTTTTTGTAGTCTTCAGACTCACATCATCCTGATTTTTGAGAAGGGTGTAACAAATTCCCCCAACGCCTTCCTCTACTAGTTCACATACTGTATTGTTTGCTGTTAGTGGTAACATGAAGTTTTCACCGAGTCAGGAGAATACGTATTTATTTCAAGGGAAGTTGAGCAATGGTTCAGAGTAAACAAGTTGGAAGAACTTTGGTAGTTCTAAGAATGGAATGTTTTAATTTCTGGTATTTTTGACAAATGATGATGGTCTTAATTTTGTTGTTAGTAATAAAATGATGGAATATTGAAGATAAGGTATATATAGACATGACATATCATAGTCAAATTCAGTTCTATTTTATTATGTGAAGTATAGCAAAATATTTATGTGCCATTTAAAAGCTAGTTTGTGGTCATTGAAGTGGCTCGATTTGAGATGGAACTGTAATTTATCTTCCTGAGGCTCTGGTTTGAAAGTCCCAAACTCCTTTGTGCTTTTCTTTGAATGTCTGCTAGAATATTTTTTGCTCATTTTTCTAGATGTGATTTCCTGGCTTCTCCACAAGACAAAAAAATGACTTGAAGTAGGAGGCAGTTGATGAAGGGGAAGCCCTGAGCTGCAGTAGAGCTACCTTAGCTAAAAAAGTCTCTGGGATTAACTTGTGCACGACTGGGCTGCACATGTATGTTCAAGCTGGTGGGAATATGTTAAGGTTACTCTGTTAAAGAGGTGATTTTTTTTCATTTTAAGCAAACATACCGAGTCATAAATTGAGTTGTGTTGGATTTTTGTATTACAGTGGAACACGTTGGAATGAGTCTAAATCATTAGTGATTTCAGTTAGTGTCTCTAAGCCTTAGTTGTCTTCCTCACCTGTCCAAGGTAGGGTGGTTTGTATGTGTATTTAGGTGGATTGGAAACCTGTATATTGATTCTGTACGGTAGGTAAAGTTCTCTGCACAGGATAAGGAAGGACTCAGTGTGAATGGTGATGATGTTATTAGGGAGAAATAAATATCAGGGGCAAACCAGGATGGGTCAGAAGTACCTATTGTTATTTGTTCGACTGACTGGACATTCTACAAAAGTAGTAGGTGATACTTCTAGTTCTTAACTTTTTTCTCTCTTTAGTGATAGCTTTTTCCTGCTCCCCTCTCACTTCCCGTGTTTGGGCCTTGGGTCTTATCAGAAGTTATCTCTTGAAATTATTTTTACCTGTTGACTAATTAGTCCATGGAATGAATACATTCCTGTCATTGGAATTTCAGTCATTAATTATGGAATAAGAAACAAAGGTTCATGTTAAAAAGGTTTTAGATGTTGGCAGTCTAAAGAGATGATAAATAGGAGATGGGAATCTGCTGTCCCTTAAGGGAAGGATGGAAAAAAACTTGATTCAGTCCTTTCTAAGCTAGCATGAAGGGGAGGGCTGTGCCTTCCCAGCTATCCCTGCTCTTATGGGTAGGTGATGACAGTTCTGGGGTATCTGGGAAAAGGGCTGTGGCTTATGGGCTCTGGTAGGCGCCAATCTAGGCTCATATACCTGATAGGCCCCACCCATGCTGTCCTGGCCTGAGCACTCCCTTTGTTTTCCCTCTGTCACAATTTACCCTATTGTTACTAACTACTCATTTTTGGTATACTTAATGTTGTTTCAGTTGGTGTTTAATACTCTTCAGGTTCAAACACCGCTTATCTGACATTTAGAACAAATTCCTAATTTATAGCTATCTTCTGTGATAGTGTTTCTGAGAAATTACTGTAGGACTGGGCAGTGGAGATTACTGTATTCAGATTGGGCCAGTGATGAGCATATAAAGAGAAAGTGTGAAGTCTGAGTTGAACCAGTTTGATCGTTAACCATTGCAGATTTTGAGTCTGCTTGAGGTATTCCAGAAGTTTTATCTGGACCAGGAGTTATCCTTTACTTGCAGATACAGTATGGACCTGGAGGACAGTCAGGTACTCACTTGGTGTCCTTTTATTTGACTGTTAAACTCCTGGGAACAGGGCTTCCAGATCTTCCAAGCCTGACCCATATCCAGATTTCCAGGAGGGTAGTCTGTAGCCTTGATGGAGGCAGTGCTTTCTGGGAAAGATGGAGCCAAGGCAATTCACTATAGAAGCAGCTGTCTTTACCAAGGGGTAAAAATCAAGCTGAGTGGATCCCACTTGTTTCAAAACATGCCCTGCCTCCTTCCTCCCTGAGCTAGTATTTCAGCCTCCAGGACTGCAAGGTGGAAGTGGGGAAGCGTTGGTCTGCACTCCAGAGTCCACCACTGGCTCCAGTATCCGTTGTGAAATTTGGCCCTGCCAGTGCTTAGCTTGTCAGGTTAGCCTGGCCCGAGTCTAGGGCTGATTGCTGGGCTGGGGCATCAGCTATGACACTCTGCTCTCCGAGGGTCTCTATGCAGCCCTGCACTGTCTTGAGGATGATCTGGAGTCTTCGGTCCAGGGCCAGGAGGTGGGGTTCTGTGAGGACAGGGCTGAGCTGGTCTTCTAGCAGCGACTCTCGCATCACATCACTGAGTCTGTAGTCGGCCTGGGCCAGAAGCTGCAGGTGCAAAAGTGTTTTCCTTTTTATCCTAAGAAGACATAAGTCATAGGAACCAAATAAGCAAATATAAGGACACTAAGCTTGTTTTTGCCCTGTCCTCACCAATGGCTGTTGCAGCTGGTATCCTTAGAGTCTACATCTCCATTGACTTCTTTAGCACATTTTAATGAAAACCATGTAAAATAAAAAGGGAATGAATAAAAGTGATAGGCTTTTCCCTAGTAGCTTTTTCATCAAGAGCCTCCTGAGCCTTTTGACCTCACCCAAAACATCACCCATGGTGATGCTAGGCCACATGCATTTGCTTTGACATTGATAAATGAAAACTGAAGTGATGGCCCAGGGTGGTGGCACATGCCTATAATCCCAGCACGCTGGCTGAAGCAGGGGAATTGCAGCAAGTTTGAGGCCAGCCTGAATTACAGAGCAAGACCCTGTCTCAAAAAGCTTAAAAACCCCCCCAACAAAACCTGAAGGGACATACAGGGTTTTTAAGGCCATTTTAAACTAATGGGAAGAAGGTGCAGTAGATGAAATGATGATGTCATCTTAAAAGTCAGCCTCCACATTGTTTCTTGCTAACTTTATGTTTCTTTGTGTCAGATCCTAAAATCAGAGGGACAGAAATGGAGTGAGGTAATTTTGCCTTTAGGGTTTTGATGCTTTTTATGCAGGAATAAAGTACTTAGACCCAAGTATAAATGTCTTATAGTTTGATTTTTGCCATAACCTGCTCCTGCTATCCTGTTCAGGAGGGTGGAAGGAAGCAGGAAGGGAGACACGTTTAGGTTAACCCAAGAAGTTGATTAAGAATGTTCATGTTCTGAGTTTCCCACTGGAAGCAAACAGGATGGTTTTGGTAGGTGTGAATCACTATTTATAATTAGCTCTGGATGCTGTCATTGAGCAGGTGGACAGTTTCACAAGCCTGCTGAAAATGCCAGAGTGTAGAAGTAGGTTAGATGTCCTCCAGGGAAGTGCTGGCCAGGTGAATGCAGTAGGACCTTTTAAAAATTTTTTAAATTTTTTACGTTGTTATATTTGTTTTGGGGAATTGGTACATGTTTTGATCATTTTCAGTCCTCTTTTCCTCAGTCTCTTCCTTCCCCTCGTCAGTGCTTTCTGTGTGACCCAGACTTACAGGACTAATCAGGACTTCACTCAGATGGTGATCAGATATTTATGAGCCCATGTGAGTGCTGGGTGAAGCAGAGATCTGATTAGTAATATCAAGGGCCATCAGGCTCTGCAAAAGTGGGTGATTATATCTGACTGGGTTATAGATTCAAGCTGGCTGCTGACAGGTTTAAAAAGACTAGATCCTAATGCATTTTTATACTGAAGTTTGAGAAAGTGAGGTGTTGCTGGGGAAATTTCAACTGTGTAAGAAATGAGGCAGTTCATGCCATTCTACCTACCCATATCCTAGGCCGCTAGTGAATACCAGAACTTGGTTGCAGTGCGGTGAAATACCCCAGTTCTCACTTGCCCATGTGACCACCCTGCCTGAACACTTACATGCAGCACTGGGAGAGAGGTGACAGGATAGAGAGTTCGTCACGGCAGTGTCGTCCGAACCTAAGAGAAGAAACAGGTTTCATCAAGCAGCGTCTTTCTCAATCAATGGGCTCTCTGCTCCGCTTCAGCTTTTTTTGAATCAGTGGTTAGAATAAAAATGGCAGCTGCCTTTCGTACTGCTTTATCCTAAGTCAGGTCACAGAAGCTTATTGGTTAATACCAAGCAGTCGTTCCTTCATTCCCCAACTACAGAGGGTCATCACTGAGGATAAGCAGTATACTGATTAGGAAAATTCTAGAAACCCTAACCTGTTTCATGAGAATCAGTGGTACGCAGCAGAGATCAAGAGAAAAAAAGCAATTGGGTAAGTAGGACATGAAAGAGATGGAACATAACAGTGCAGACCCTCTTTCTTGGGGCCTCTCGTTTTCTCTGAGCAGCTGCACAAAGGAGCATGGCTGGATAGGGGACAGCTGGGACCCAAATGCTGTCACTTACCCTCTGGCATTGTCAAGGTGAAGAAGGAATCCATCATCCCCGAATTTGGTAAACATCTCATAATGGTGACGGTCCATATTTCCTGTGAAGGAAGAGGTCGGAGATCCAGTAGGGTAGGGGGAGAGAAGGCCCTGATTTCTGAGTTCCCCCGGGAATGGAGGCCTGCCAGGAGTCCAGAGTGAGGAGCCTGAACCCGGCCACGACTGGCATTTCCAAGGCTTTCACCCTTAGCCAGGGTCACAGAAATGTGCCATTGTGCCTCTTGAGCATATTGATGTTGGCTTTGTTTCGCCGACACCCTCAGCTTGAACAACAGACGTGGGCTGCCTTCCTGAGGAGGATGGCAATGAGCTGTCTCTTTAGCTCTACGCAAGTGGGTAGGTCGTGTGTGGCTATGTTTCCCTCCTTAGCCTTTCCTGGTTCCTGTGGGCTGGAAGGTGGAATTACTGGTCTCCCAGGCTGAGACCTTGCCTATAGGACCCTCCCACTGTTGGATATATTCACTGTGCACTTTCTTACCCTCCTACCTGGGTTCCTTCACTGGGTGAAGGGAACGTGATTTTAAAACTGCTCGTGCTGGTGGCAGGTGCTGGGTCTGCGTCACCAGGGACGAGAGGAGAGTGCATGTACTTCTGCCTACTTGGGCCGCCTCCCCTGCTGAGCTGTGGGAAGTACAGGTTGTTCACGCCTCCTGAGGTGGGCGGTGCCAAGCCCCCGGAGTTCCCAGCCACACAGCTGAGCCCCCTGGGCCAGGTGCCCCGAGCCTGGGGACCTACCTATCAAGAAGTCGAAGATGGCCATGTCGATGATGTCGAGGAGCCGCTTGCCGCTATTGTATGGGTAGATCTGTTTCACTGTATCACAGTAGAGGGGGTTGATCTCCCACCTAGGGATGACAAGAAGGCCTGGGGCTGGAAGAGCCAAGATGGTAAGGTGTGGGGCCCGCCCTGCGCCTTCCCCTACCCTGCTGACTCTGCCCTGGGCTGGTGACAGCTTCGCAGGATGCCAGTGTAGCTAGGCCCGTTCAGGAGGACTGGGCATGGACATGGTGTGTGTGGCGGGTGCCGCAGAGACCCCATGGTGAGAAGTTCTGAGTCCTCCACTCTGGGTGCTGGGCTGAATGAGGACCCTGAGCCAGGCCGGGGGAATGTGGTGCTTTGTCTCTGTCCTGCTGCTTTTGCACTTCTCTTACCCTGGCCTTCCGGTGCTCTGCATTCTTCATAATCCCCACGGCCATCCTCTGTCATCTCATCCCACATGTTTCTCTGCCTACAACGCACCCTTGCATCTTCACAGATTGTCATATCCCTCAAAGAACCTCCTACTTCCTTGTCTTTCTGCTATGCTTGAAATGGACAATGGACTTAATCACTCCAGTCAACTAATCCTGGGTGCCTAGGCCCTGAGGATACAGCCAGTAGATCCTTGGCCTCATGGGTCTTGCTCAGGGAAAGCTGTGTTCCTCCCGCAGTTCCCTTTTGCTTCTCTGTTACAGAAAATACTGCCCTGTCTATTCATAATCTGGCTGTTTGTCTTTCTGCCCCATTAGACCCAGGAGGTTCCTGAAGAGATAACTGATGCCTTTTATTTCTATGTTCCCTAGCACCTACTGGGCTCTTCTAACTGAATAAATGAACTAAAGGGAGAGAACACTTCCAGTCCAGCTGGTCCCAGCATTAGCATGAAGTGAGAGAAGCAGCTTTTGGGGGTCCAACTATGGCCCCTCTCGTGGACTGGATTGCAGGCCCATTAGCGTGGAATTGTGGCCAGAGTGCCAACTCACTCCTCTTTTCCTGCCAGCGAGTAGGAGCGGATCCAGGGGCTGGGCACAGACAGCCTGGGGGCCAGATTGAGAGACGGCAGGAAGGCAGACAGCGAGCCCTCCAGCAGGTGTGGGTTGCCACAGACAGCGTATTCAGTCTTGCACATATACGGACACTTGGCGAAGAAGCACACGTTGCTGGCTGGAGGATGAGGGAGGAGAGAGAAGTACATGGTGAGGCAGTGTGCCCATTGTCAACATTCAGCAGTGGTCTGACCTCCTGCATTAGGATGGCAGATGCTGTCATCTGGTTCCTGGGTCTAGGGCAGAAAGACAAGTAGCCAGATTTGGGATACACAGTGCATTATTTTCTGTAACAGATGCACACAAGGAATGGCTTCGATGCATGCCATCTTTCTGCCCCAAGAAATTCCTTAGGATCAGGGTAGGGAACCCCAAATTCCCAGCTTGGGAAAATGCAGAAGGGAACCTTGCTATTTCCAAATGTGGGCACTAGGGAATGCTGCTAATCTGAGCATCCTGAGTACCGGTTTTCACATGTCTCAGAGCAGAGAAAGTGTGGCACCCGGTTTCTCTGGATCCTATCCACGTGACTTGAATATTCTTTGTTACCAAGGATGGGATAATCTCTGGTTCCAGGGAGGCCAGCATTGTAGGTTCAGTGCCCACATAGGCTGGCCGGCCTCTCACACACTCCCTTTCCGGATCCAGAGTTCATCTTGTGTTAATGCTCAGACAGACCAGGGTGGGAGTGTCTGGCAGCCTCTGCCATCCCAATAGTGCATGTGCAGGGGGTCAGACCGCTGCTGAAGGTGACAGTGGGTACACTGCCTCACCATGTACTTATACTAAGAATATCGCTCTGGTTTGTACTCTACCTGGAGACACAAAGAAAACACTCTGCAAGATTTCATTCTTGGTGACCTCTAGGATTTCCTTGGTGACATTCACTAGCCTTCCCACTGTTGGTGGAACCCGTCGGAAGTCAAGAATCCTGAAAGAGAGGGAGCCCTGTCAGAATAAGGATAGTCAGGGAGGGAGAAGTCCTGTCCCGGGGCCAGCACTCGGAAGAAAAGGCTGGTGTTCCTGCCATACCCAGCAGTGGCTGCTGAGGGCATCTTCACAGGGCAGAGCTGGTCAGACCCCAGCCTGAAGGGGCAGAGAAGCCATGCTTACTCCATCAGACTCCTGTGCAGGCCTTGCCACCCTCCAAGCTGTTCTTGGTCAGTGCTTCTCAGACTTAAATGTGCTTAAGAGTCACCTGGGGATCTTGTTCTGACTTAGGGTAAGGCCGAGAGTCTGCATTTCTAGAAAGTTCTTGAATGGTGCCCATGATAGGGATCCAAAGACCACACTTTCAGTAGCAGTGAATGAGCAAATAGGAACGTGGAAGTTTAGGGTGTGCTATCACCTAACATCGTCACCTTAAGACTCCTTGGGTAAATGGGACTGGGCAACTTCTCATTTTCAAATCGGGAATAGAACCAAGGGCAGTGTTACAGCCAAGGTGGCAATGTGAGCGGTATGGCAGGGTTCGTTTTCTTTATAAATGTTCATTTCATTACATTAGAAGGCCTTGTGTTCTTTCATCTGCGGGTTGTAGGGAGTTTGAAGGCACGACACTGAGGTTCGGAAAAGAGAAAAAGCCAGAAGGAACAAATGCCAGGAAGTTCTAGCTGAGAGGGTCTGTCCAGTGGCCCCTCCTGGGATATTGGCCTTTAGGGTTGACACCATGTCCTGTGGGGCAGACCCACCTGTCCAGATGGAAAGCTGCGATCTCAGCATTGTGTCTCTGAAAGTCAATGAAATAGAAGAAGTCTGCGGGCGTCTCCTCATCTCGCTGCTGTCTGGAAGGAAGGAAGGAGTCACGCCCTGGACTCAGACTTCAGCTGTGAGCCTGAGAACAGAGCTGAGAGGTGGCAAATCAGGAGTGGCGCATGGCTCCCTGGGCGAGGAGGAGACATGCAAAGTAGGAAGAATCAGGCTTCCTGCAGGACATTGTGCTGTAGGCACCACCAATACCAAGTTTCCTACTTCAGCTTTCGGAACAGTGGCAGATGCTTTTAAACACCCAGCAGTTGCAAGGAAAGAAATGCAGACATTCTTTTGCAGATGTAAACTGAAGAGAGAGAGGGTTGGTTAGCAGAACCAGAGCCCTTGCAGACTTAGACACCTCGAGATGAAGAAAGGTGGGTGTGAGCCAGAACTTGGTAATGGAGTGAAGTTGAGCATGGCTGAGGTTTGAACTGGGAAATTCTGGGTCTTTGGGTGGTTTGGGAGAAACATGGGGCCACTCCCTCATAGGAACTAAGGTGAGTGGTAAGAGTGGGCCCAGCCAGAGGGTTGAGGGAGGCTGGTGTAGAAGATACTGATTTAAATACACTTTAAAAATCACTAATGGATTCCTGAAAAGCTGGCCTGCCAGAGTGTGGCAGGCTGGCTGGGTATGGATGTTCAGGAAAGTGCTTCCTAATCATTAAGACATTGTGGGGCGATTTCCGGCCTCTATACTGACTTTGTCTTGATAATAAACATAGAAGAATGGTGATCTTTGAGTGATTTTATAATCCACTGTGTGGAATTGTTACAAAGGCTGCAAAAGCAATGTAAATAAACATAATGTGGCAGAGAGCCGTAAGCAGCACCCACAGCCGCATTGTAATGTGTGCTTTGCCAAGAAGACAAGCTGGTCCCGAAAACCATGGCGAGTGGCTGCCAAAAGTAGAGATTGCATTTCAGAAGGTGCAGACACACGTCTGGGATGGCCTCCGTGCCTAGTCCTGACTCACTTCTCTTTAGCTTCAGCAAATTCTGTGCCAGCAACAGCAATCTCTGTTCCCATCACGTTTTAATTCCTGAATTCCATCCGTAAGAACACATAATCTCTCAACACCCTTTGGGTTTGCTAAGATGTTGTTTATTGTATGGCATATAACAAAAGTGTTTTTAAATTTGAAAACTGTTTTAGTTTACATCTATGCTTCTTATATTCTGAAAACACATTTGTGCAGTGGATTGTATGGCATATTTAAAAGCATCCCCCTTATGTGAAGAATGTACATACAGTATCCAAAGGTAAATTTTTACTTTCCTTCTGTAATAGAGAACAAATGCTTTTCACTTTAAATTACAGAAAAAAATCGCAAGATTTTTTTAAAAGAAATACATTTCAAAATGATACTATATTTGATGTTTTGGACTCGATCTTATAAAATTGTAGATGAAACTACCTAGTTAGCATAATAGGTAAGATTATGATTGATAATAAGATTACTCTTATTAACAAGTGGTGGAGACTTTTGCATTACACTCAGAGGGGTATGGGGAGAAGTGGGTTAGTTTGAACAATTTTTACTAGTTTGTAATTGCCTGGGCAGAGTGGGGGTTTAGGTTGTTCCTTGTGTTCCTGCATTTTACTCCAAACATAACACCCTAAGGTGGTTCCTGGCTGATATGTGAATAGTGAAAGTGGAGCTCATCCACTCCATAGTCACTTCTGGTGTGTATAATTTAGAGACATCCTTATGTACCGTATATGGCTTTTGCTCTAGAGTGTAATTTATGGATCTGGTAATTTGTGGTGAACATGCAGACTTACCATGACACTTGTGTTAATGACATCCTTACCATGACATTCTTGTTAATGTCTCATGTTCCCACATCAGTATTCCTTGCCTCTAACTGGTGCTCTCTTGTGAATATACAATAAACATATATGACTATGTGTGGCAATAAATTTAAGACTATATTTCCAGAACCTTGGTGGTGGCTCTCCTATTCAGCTGGGCATCCTATCAAAGAGGAGCTGGGGATGTTCTTCTGTGTGAAGGCCCTGAATTCAATCCCCAGTACCACAAACAAATAAAAAGCACACAATTACTCAGGTGGCTGAGGCAGGAAAGAGAATCACTTGATCCCAGGATTTCAAGCCCACCTTGGTCAAAATAGCAAAACCTCATCTCTTTAAAATAAAATAAAATAATTTCATTGATTTTAATTGCCTGAATCTAAGAGGAGATCCCTCTCAAAACTATCCCTCCAGAGAAGTAGTCTTTGTATATTCAAGTCCTTGTTTTGTTTCTCAAATGATGGAGCCACTCTTAGTGACATTACTTTGGTTGAGATAGATTAACCTGAAATAATTTCTGTTGGTGTTGGTTTTATTCTCTGATGGAACTGGCTAAAACAGGTTGTTGGGGGAGGGAATGGGACAAGATTTTACTATTTGGTTTCATACTGACTCGAAGTTTGACTCTAGCAATGATGATGACTGATGTAAAAAATTGTGGCGAGTGGAACGTGTGCATGTAGGGAAAGGGAATATTTGTAAATTTGTAAGTTGTTTTATATGAAAATCCATTGTTTCTTATACAGCTTTGAAAAATTCTTTACCTGAAAACAACATTTTAAATCTTTTTTTTTTTCTTTTTGTATCTGGCATCAAAATCAAGACCTTGTGCTTGCAAAGCAGGCGCAGTGCCACTGAGCTACATCCCGGGCCCTGAAGACAACATTTTAGAGGAATACGTGACTTGGGTAGCAGGAGCCCCTCTTGTGGTTTTCTCGCTCGTGTGTGTCATATCCAGGGGGAATATTCCAGTGGGCCAAAATAGGGGAACCCTACTTTAGAGCACCCCAGTCTGTGAGTTTTCTGACCCTTTGGGTGCCAGAAAACCACATGCACACATACACCAAGCTCTGTCTATAGGCTGATACATATCATTTCATATTGGGTACTACATACTGTATACTACCACATTCAGAGGTATGTAAGTTGCTACTGTTATGAATACAGTGTACGTTAATGTAGCCTGTAACTGACTTTATAGTAGCCTTTGTCCATTGTCTAATTTTTCAAAACACGAATTGTCAGATAGAGGTCTGTAAACTTTTTGATGTAAGAAAGAGAGTGCTAGGCCTGGAAAAGAGTAGAGATCATTACAGTGGAAGGGTGTGAATTTAGCAGGTCAGATGCCTGGCTTTGAATCTTGGGTCCCCTGCTTGCAGCTGTGACAGTGGGAAGAGCTGGCTGTCTGGAGCCTCAATGTCCTCGGCTCAATGGGGACAGAAAAGTAGCACTTGGCTCATGAGGTTGGAATGATCCGAAGACACAGTTCACGTACAGTGTGTGCTACAGGTCCTAGTAAAGATGATAAGGATCAGCTCTTACTGTTTTCCCTGCGACTATTACCATGAAAAACAGCTGTGTGCTTGGAGCAGAATGTCTTAAACAGTCTCCAAGTGACTGGGATGAAGATGTCAGGCCATGTTTGTTACTTTTGGGTCAAAGGTCCCCCAGGGCTGCTACACTAGGCATGGCAACGAAGAGGGCATCTCTTACCTCATGGGTTTGAACATGGCCTTCCCGAAGTCGGAGAACCTCAACACCAGCTTCAGGTGGACCCCACTGGGCTTCACAACTGGGAAGGTGAAGGGGGTGTTAACAGTGCTTCTGTCAGTCCATGAATGCAGCTGATTTCTTTTCTTATTTAACCAGACCTTAAAAACTAGGATTTGCTTCTCAAAGCAGGGTGAACTTCATGCTCTCAGGCCATGGAGGGTGTGTTTAGGGGCTTGGTACCTCTTCTGCCAGTCTGGGAAAGGGCAAATGATGCTGGGTTCCCCAAATAGATGCAGCCGAAAACCCCAAAGGATGTTACTAAGAAGAACCCAGCCCTCCCTCTTTGTGTTTCGATTGTAGCCTTGTCAATTCCGATTATGCCACTTGGTGTATTACACCTGTTTAACTATATCTCCTCTTATTTAAGACACTGCCCCTCGGCTGGGATGAGGGTTTGGCAAATTTGTGTGCCTCAGGTACAGTGGGTGCTGCTTCCTTCAGTTTGCCCCCTGTTCTTCACCCCATCTTGCTTCACTCTTCCAGCCCCGTTTAGAGCCCCATGAGGGTCAGGACAGTGTCTCACTCTGTTCTACAAAATGGCAAATGGCAGGTGCTGAACTAAAGGAAGGGGAAACCTGGGGCTTCCACACCACATCACATGTAGATATTTTTGATGTCTGTTCAGCGTGTTGAGGTAAATGTATGACTGGCCTGGGGGCTTTAGTGTCAAGCCCATCTGGAACCGGGTTTTGTTTTGTTTTGGTGGTGGTGCAGATTGAAGTGGAGACCTTATTCGTGCTAGGTAAGTATTCCACTGCTGAGCTGCATTCCCGGCCCTGCTCTTTTTCTTTCTTTTGTTTTTTTTAAAAATATCATTTTGAAGCAGGGTCTTGCTAAGTTGCCCAGGCTGGCCTCAGACTTGCAATAATCCCGCCTCAGCCACCTGTGAGGCTGCAATTACTGTGCACTTTATTCGTGGAGGCCAACCTTTTAAAAATGCTTTTAGATTTTTGATTCTATAGATAACTTAACTCTGGTGGCTCACAACCTTGGCTGCATTAGAATCACCTGGTGCATTTTTAAGATGCTGAGGCCTGAACCTCACCTTCTGTCACTGATCCTAATCCTCTGGAGGTGGAGGGCTAGGACTCTCTAAACTTTCAACCTTAGATGCATCACTTTTTAAAGCTCTCCAGGTGGTTCTAATATGTTGCTAGCATCACACACCACTGTCCTGTACAACTGTACTCTGATAACTTGAGGTATTTTTAAAATTCACATTTTGATTTGGAAAAATCAGTGGAGACAGCGATTCTGCATTTCCAGCAAGCCCTCAAATGATGCCAATGATGCTTGTGCCCTGGACCACATTTGGAGCAGTACGATCTTACACAGAATTCTCGTTATGCCCTTTCTTTTTTTGGGTGGGTGGGGAGAATTGTGGAGCCGCAGAGGTTAGGCAGAGGTTCCCCACTGCAGTAGACGCTGGGCTTCATGTGGCCGTGCGGTGAGGGTTCTGGATGGAACTGGGGCCAAGGCACTTACTCTGAGTGCAGTCACACGCCCCCAGCAAGGCTTTCTCGTCCTGACTGTAATCTGAAAGGAAGAGGAGGCCATGAGAGCTTGCAGCCATGTTTCTTGGACAGCCAACCGCACCGGGCCCCTTGGCTCTAGTGCAGACCAGCAGCAGGGGAGTCTGTGATGTAACCTGTGGATCTCAGCCTTGACCATTCAGGAAGGGAGCTCCCAGAGCCCAGGGCTGCTGTCTTACTTCTGCTCCACTCCAGCTCCACTTCATGTTTAGCCTGTCAGTGGACATTCCAGCCACATCTGGCAGGGAGGCCCACTCTAGTGTTGTCTCTGCTGATTACTTTGTGTCACATACATGGTTGTAGTATTTGAGAGTACAGATTTGGGGTCAGCAGGCCTGTGTTTGAATCCCTGAATCCCAGCTCCAGTACTGGGATTACCATGTTCCTTAACCTCTCTGGGTCTCAGCTTGCCCACCTGTACAATGGTAATCATAATGTCCATGCCATCAAATTATGGTCTAAGAGGGAACGGACGAGTCAGTTCAAAAGAAGCACTCAATAAACAGTAGCAATCGTCTTTAAGGGTCCTTGTGCCTCAATTATGGGGCTGTGATGAGATTAAGGTTATATGAGGTTTTTCAAAAGCAAAATGGTTTTCTTCTTATTAACCTCTCTATTGTGTGTCAGTGGTAACTGTAATGTTTTAACCCAGACATCTGATCCGAGATGGGCTCAGCCAGCCCCTCTAGGGGGAAGTCAGCCCGTCCTGCCTGATCCCCCAAACCTCACCAGCACTGATGGTGGGCAGGTGCCTCATGTCGTGGAGCAGCTTGCTGACCATGGGGCTGGACCGGGAGTACAGCCCCTGGCGACTGATTCCCAGGTGGAACTGGACCCAGCTGGCATCAAATCGGAGCTGCAGTGGGGGGTCCAGGGAGGTGAGGTTCAGCTGCTCTTTGTAGATCTTGTGTCGTCTGAAAGAGCAGAAGAGTAGGCTTGTTTTTGGTTTTACATTGGAGGCACAAAAATGCAAAGACTTGGCTGGAAACTCCACTCATTTAACAAGTGTATTGAGCATCTGATAAGGGCCAGGCCCCATGCTGTGCTCAGGATACCACGGGAAACAGAAGCCCCTAGTCCCTCCTTGCCCTCAGACTGCTTACAATCTAGTGATTGAAAGAGGCAATAGGTGCACAAATACACGGATACTGAATTACAAACCGTGACATGCTGTCATGGGAAAAGGCAGATTTATGAGTAGAATTCGGAGTCTTTCACAATATGGGGCCTCAGGGAGAGACCCTGAGGCTCTTTGTTCACTTTCCCATTAAAGCAACTGTGTCTCACATCTCCCAGTACTTCCTGTCCTAAGGAGGTCGGGGGAGAAGGTCATGGGTGAGAATAATGGAATAAATAATGGAATAAAGCTGAGTTAGGTGAATCAGTACTACATCAAGGTAAAGAAGAATTAACCAGCCGTTTGCTGAGTGTCCTTGGTAGCCTGTTCTGCAAGGGTAAAGGAAAAAATGATGGCACTGCTATTTAGAGGTTTAGGGTCCACTTTGGGAGATAAGTTGTCTATCTCCGAATACCCACACACTGGGCATTCGGGCTTCAACATACAAATGGGGGGCCCGGCAAACATTCAGTCCATGCCAACCTGCACCTTAATTCTCCACTCCTAGCTCATCTGTCAAGAACGCTCAGGTAGCATGCAAACACTCTTTGAACTACTACTGAGTTTGTTTTTGTTTTTTTTTTGGTACCAGGGATCGAACTCGGGTCCTTGTGCTTGCGCAGCAGGTGGCGAAACCATTGAGCTAAATCCCCGGCCCAGCTATGGAGTTTTGTGACTTTAGACCTGGGTGAGAATATTTCTCCCTAAAAAGGGAGTTTCGTTTTCAGATGCCAAGCTCCTCCTGACCAAGTAAAAGAGTTTCTAGTTCCTTTTGTGAGCTGCATATTAGAGCACTTCTTCAGCCAGGGAGTTTGGTCACAAAGCACAGTGACACTGGTAAAGAAGCCAAAGGCTGCCTGTGAGACACCTGTCTATGCTTTCTCTACCTGCACAGATAACTTCTCAAATTGGAAAAGAAAGCCATGGAAACAGGAGTCCATTATTATCTTTTATATTTGAGAGGCTAATTTCTCTTGATGTTTAAGAAACTCAGAGGCGGAAGTGACAAATTCTGCTCCTGTCAGGCCTTTGAGCTGTCAAGGATAGTTTGCCCTGGTAATCTGGGACCTAGTTACCCCGGCCACTTCTTGTCCCAACTCTTTGTGACTCACGTGTGTATCAAATAACACTGACTGACCTATCCCTGGATTCATTCTTCACTCCAGGAAATACCACACCAAAGGACTGGGCTTCCGTCCCGCAGCTTGGATCAGAATTCTCACTGTACATTCTGCCCATGAATCAGCCTTGCACTACCTGGACTTGGTTTCTTTGGGAGCTAGTGTTCAGCCCCTGGATTTCCAACCGGCTGATGTCAGATACAGGCCTCCAAGCCTGGAGATGAGTTTCTTGCGTCTGGTGTCAGCTGTCTACTCTCTACTCCCCTGGATGTCTGCCCCACCTTCGTTCCTGACATCTGAACGCACAGTCTATTTGGTCTACTTCAAGTCGCCTTTCCACCAGGACTAGGTCAGGCTACCTGCTGAGATAGGTTCAGATTCTTGAAGCTTCGCCATCTGATGAAGACCAGGTTCTTAAGTTTGGACTGGGTTTCTAACTATGAATCTGCTTCATGAATGTTGTTCTTTGTATTCTACTTTCATTGGCCTCTAGGACCCTGTGCTTGGATCTCACTCGATGGCACCCATATCCTGCCTGCGCCTTTTCCTCCTACTTCTCCTTGGTATTGGCTCTTCCTTCCTTTCAGATTCTTACTCCTAAGATCACTCCTACAGAGTTGGCCCCATTGGCCTCGTACTTGTACATCTGCATGCTCCGATGAGTCTTCTTGGGACTCCCATTTCTTCTCCTTTTAACCTGTCACTTCCTATTTTTGGTCACTCAACTTTGAGTCCAAAAATAGGCAACCAGAAAGAAAAACTTGGTGAAGCTGGATCTCAAATTGTGACATTTGACATCGTGGTTGAGAACAGGCACAACTAGACCAGGTAGAAGAGATAAAAACAGGAGATTTGGACTAACAAAGCACTTGTAAAGGATACTCTGAGATTACCGTCTCTTTTATACTGGAACAGCTGCCAGGAAGGAGCGTTCCATGTGCAGCCTCGCTTAGTCAGTCTAGCTGTATTAGAAAGCTCTTTGCAGGAGCCAAAAACTTTTTAGTAGCTTCCATCAGTGGGTTTTGATTTTACGCCTAGAGATAGGCAGAACAAATTCCTTTCGTACCTTATAGCCTTTAAAATATTCAGAGATGGTTATCATGCGACTTTGGCATCTTCCAGGTCAAATTCCCTTGGCCACCCTTCATAGGCCAGGGATTTGCATCCATTTTTTTCCTTTTAATTCCCATGAGTTTTAATTTTTTTATTATGAGGGATTGCTCTAGCTTATTGAAAGGCTTATCTGCATCTGTTGATATAACATTTATGTAACCTGTTAATGTGTCCAATTACATTCACTAAATTTTTAAATTTTAAGATATTCTCACCTTTCAAACCGAAATCGCCCAAAATAAAAAACCCTGGTGGGGCCGGGGATTTAGCTCAGTGGTCCCCCTGCCTGCCTCGCAAGTGCAAGGACCCGAGTTCAATCCCTGGTACCCCAAAAAACCAAACAAACCCTGGTGGGGGGCATGATGTGTTGTCTTTTTTGCATCATTATATCCTTTCAGATACAATGTATCTGCAGTCTATTATTTTATTTTATGGTGGTACTGGGGATTGAACCCAGGGGACACTGAGCTTCACGTCCAGCACTTTTTATTTTATTTTGGGACTGTGTAGTCCAGGCTGGCCTAAAACCTGCCATCCTCTTGCCTCTGCCTCCAGAAGAGCTGGAGTTACAGGTGTGTACCATCATGCCTAGGTTGAATTTTTTTTAGAAGGTTACATCTAAGTTGATGTGAGAGATACTCCTGTGACTTCCTTGTTTTGTAGTTTCCTTGCCAAGTTCTTGTATCAGTTTCCTTCTGGTCTGATAAAGTGTGTTGGACTGTATTTCTTCTTTTTCTAGTTGGAAGAATTGTGTTTCAGCTTGGGGAATGTGTCTATGTTGTAAGTGCTTCCTGAATTAGTTTCTACTGGGAAAACAATTTGAATTAGGGTCAATATATTTAATATATACGAAATAATTCAGATTCTCTGTTTATTTTTATGTTCACTTAAAATTATATATTTGAGGATTTTGTCCATTTTACCTATATCTTCTTTTTAAAAATGTATTTATTATCTCTGTTTATGATACATAATGACTACTCTCATTGTGGCTAGTTGGTACGTGTACATGACACATCTTGATTCTTTTTTATGTCCTCTTCCACTCCTTCCTCTCCCTCTAGCTCTTGGTCCCATTCCCATTTGCAGTAGATATATCTTTCTGTTTCCTTTTGTCTTTTATTTTTCTCTTTATTTATACTTTGGATTTCTCATATGAGAGAAATCATACAACATTTAAGCTTGTGCATCTGATTTATTTCACTTGACATTATGTTTTCAGGATACATTTTCCTACAAATAACTCAAATTTATCCTTCTTTAAGGCAGGATAGTATTCCATTGCATAAAAATAGCACATTTTCTTTATCTGTTCATCTGTTGATGGACATGTAGGCTTCTTTGAAGATGTAGCTATTATGAATTGTGCTGCTATAAACATGGATATACATATATAACTGTAATATGATGTCTTTAACTCTTCTGGGAAGATACCAAGAAGAGGAATGGCTAGGTTGAATGGAATTTCTGGTTTCTTTTCAGATCGAATACATCTTTTGCCTTTTTGGCTCAATTTTGATCTTAGTTTTTGCAATGGACTGAATGTTTATATCTCCACAAATTCTTAACCCCCAAAGTGATGGTATTAGGAGGTGGAGCCTTTAGAAGAAGCATTAGTTCTGCTTCCCTGTGATCAAAATACCCAATGTAAATCAACTTAAAGGAGGGAAGATTTATTTCTGTTCCCAGTTTCAGAGATTTCGGTTCACAGTTGGCTGTTGCTGTTGCTGCGGGCCTGAGGTAAGGCACAAGGGCATGAAGGGATGGCAGAGCGAGCTGCTGTCTTTATGGCAGAGAAAGAGAGAGAAAGAGAGGGAGCGAGAAAGAGAGACCGAGACTAAGAGCAGGAAGGGGCTGAGACAAGATGCACCTGCAAAAGTACGCCCCAGTGACTTATTTCCTCCAATGGGGCCCCACTTCCTAAAAGCCCACTCAGCTCTGAACTCATGAAAGTATGGATTCACTCATGAGGTCCTCACTCTCATGATCCAACCACCTCTTTAGGACCCACCTCTGAACATTGCTGCATTGGGAACCACCCCCTTAGTTCAGGAGTCTTTGGTGGGGTGGGCGGCTGTTTCACTTTTAAAACATAACAGGAAGTGATTAGGTCTTGAAGACAGAATTGCATCAGTGACCTTATGAAACAGACCCCTTGTATCTTTGGCCATGTGATAGTGTAGCAAGCAGTCAGCTGTCTGTGAACCAGGAAGAAGGACCTCATTGGATACCCAAATCTCCTGGAGTTTTGATCTTGGAACTTCCACTCCCCACGACTGTGAAGGAAATTTTTTTCTCTTGTTTATAAGCCACTCAATCTATGGTGCTTTGTTACACCAGCTTGAGTAGAGTAAGACAGTTATGTATACTCATTTCCCTCCTATTTCTGACAACTAGCATGAGATGCAATACTCTGGCTATGGATTGTTCAGTGCAGAAGACAGGAGGATAATCAGCACTCCATTAGGAACACTTTCGTTCCATTAATATAACTAAATATGGGAATACATTTTGGGAACCATATCACACATCTCTAAGAAAGTATGAGAAATTTTATCATAGG